GATTGGAACACCTGGAGCTAATTCCCCAGTAATCCATAATTGAAGCCCAACTGTGAGACTCAGTTAACGGACCTCTCGGGACCACTGAAGGTTTGGCCGTTGGTTAAACTAGTACCCACTAAAGCACGATCCGCCGTTGTGACGACACGCAAAGGTTACGCACCGTTTCTCGCATTACTTCGGGGTTCTCGAGGAGGGAACAAGGCAGCCGCCAGCATTCTACGCTTGTTTCATGTCAACTAGTATTCTTCTACGTGCTTTTTTTCAGCTCTTCTTTCCTCCTCATGATTCTTTCGAGGAAAACTGAACCCGCTATCAACGTTGTTTTCATTCTTATCATACCTTCGAACCCGTCCTTGATCGTCACCTATGATGCCATTTCCCGTGCTAACTCCTGTCGGATGTCCCGCAGGGCTGAGCATCTAAAAACCGTGTGCTCGGTCCTATCCACTTCCACTTAATCGCATATAATGCACGTGTTTACCTACGTTTTGCCTGTTTTGAGCATATACGTTTGAAATTGATCGTGGTTCGTAAACGTCTATGTGACTTGGTCCATCAGCTCTTTGTGTGGTTTGTTATATCAACTCTTTAAATCTAGGATGGGACTAAGTACAGGATCCTAACCTTTGACCTAGTCCCTGATCCCAGATTTGCTCACATCCATTGCTACTGCTACTTCTGAAGGATGGCGGTCTGAAATGTCGTGAATGTAAATCGACATAGTGATACCGCTTGGTCCTCCCATGTGCAAGCTGGTGTTATAGTGGCAACGTAGCCAGCACAAAGACTGGCTTTTACGAAGCTGTTCTATAGGATCGCGCTTAGATAAAATTTTCGCATGAACTCCGGTACGAATCTAAAACAAAGTGAAAGGTGCGGAAGTATGAATAAACGAGTGTGATCTAATGGAATACAACTCTATAGGAAATGAATTGCATACCAATCAATTCCAGAGAGATTAGGAACTCAAGAAGAGTTCCGGTAGGCGATCTTTTGATACCCAAACATCTTTCCACAGCAGCACGCCTAGTTGTTTGCAAAATGTCGGCTGGAGAGACGCAGCCATCGAGGAATCTGCGTTCCTCGATCGGTGCAGGTGCTAAACACGTGTAATAAGAAGATTGCATTGTGGCGTCAACGACTCACTTAGGCACATACTTACCGAGCTATATCTACCTTAACGAAAGAATGAATTTATATAAACATGTATGTATATATTGATATTAGCGCTTTTCCTTGTAATATAAGAAAAACATATTTGTCTTATAATATAAATTGACGTTCCCTGTTATGTTCAAAGGATAGAAGAGTGAATTTAGCCGTTGTCACGGCCGTTGAAACAACCCTAATCCATTATTGTCAGTATTTAATTAATTGCTACTAATTTGAATCATAATATATCCGAGGAGATAGATGTCCTCTTAAAGCTGCCACTGGGGAAACGTTCTGAAATTGGTGTGAAACAATAACGAAATTTTAACATTCAAAAGAAAACAGGAGCTTTCAAGGTAGGCGAAACAGATAGATCAAGTTCATTGGCTCAGAGTTCTTAAGGTCCTTTCATACGGCCTTCGTATGCAGACAGAACTGGTCTACAAATTCGGGACACCAAATACGTCTTCCCAATGTAAAGTAGCTGTGGACACGAATGTTCGCAGATCCAATACCTAAACCACTTTGTCTTCGAACGTGCCTCGAAGAGCTTATATAAATAAATCAAGATATCCTTGATCAACCATGTAGTAACGGCAGAGGAAAATTTATTGTTGAATAGGAAAAAGCGAGCTTCTATTTCCGATGCTACTATAAAATTATGCAATCAACATTGTTTGGCACCTTCTATCCCCATCCACCCTCCTAAATGTGGCCGTTATAACGTTGATCATTAGAGGCCTTACAGGATATTCCTTAACAATCTTTCTAAAAAGGTTAATACCTTGACAACAAAGTTGTCAAGAGGATGAGGCAGTTTAAATCGTATCGCTATTAACTAAACATGTTCACTCAATCTTTAAAGCGTATTATCTTCTAAAAAATCTAAATCTACTTTGAAGCTCTCCAAAAAATAATCCTGTATAATAATCCTACAATACTAAATGTTAACTATTAAAATCTGTTCAAAAATTAATTACATTGATTTCAAAAAAATTAAATTCATTCAAACTTTTTTACGGGACAAATTACATTAATTGACAAAAGCCGTATTCGTTTCAGCGTTAACGTGTGAATGTCCTCTTGTCTAGGTAGTGTACAAATATTAAGCTAGACAACTAATGGTCCGCATTAATATAATAGAGGCATTGTCAGTATTTTCAGGACATTATAACTGAGGTCTATCACCGAGATGACCTTCATGATGTTCTTCAATGAGCCCTTTGTCCATAACAACTCCTTTAATTTGACTGAATATTCAACTCCTAGCAACCTCGCATGTCACATGCTCTTTGCTACCGATCACCGATTTTGCAGGTACCCCCCCGTTATGCCGCATTTCTATATGTAGAAATTCCATCTTTAAATCTTGGCTTCTGTTCAAGGACCTTCTAAGTGATAATTTAACAAGTTATCTGTATGCTCGTACGTACTCAACTACGATAGCGTAGTAACATACGATGTAATATTCATTAATGTGAAAATTTTTCACATAGATACTGTTTCTGCTAGTGTAATATCGAGTCTTGTACTCCAAGTATATACATTCCAGTTAAAAGTAGAATGATAAATTTATTTAAAAGTTTCCACGTTTAGATTTAAACGAACGGCTTTTGTTGATAAGCTACAAAACTCATAGCTAAATTGAGGCAAAAGCGACGCTCTACTTAAATTTGGCAACCTGAACTTGGAAATTCTACCATTTTGGGTTTATGGCATTTTATGCCGAGAGCGAATGTGTTCAAATATTAACGATACTCGCAGATTCCTCAAGGCAAGGTATACGCGGCAAGTTTAAGCTAAGTAAAAACTAATATGAACCGAGTCATAGTTTTAGTTTCGATCTAGATGAACTCTACAGATATATATATATATAAATGAAATATTTTTCTATGCAAGCAAAACATGAGTATCTACAAGGGCTATATTATCACTACTTACCGTAACCATAACGGGCCTTTTGAAAAATAGCCTCATGCATTAGGTTAATGATATTCGAGGTTGGCCCAAGGTTGTTCTCGATTCGGAGTGAAGCGGCAGCAGTTTATGGATTTATCGGAAATTCATTTAGTGCCGGGCCTTATTTCTCAGTTGACCTTGCTAAGCCTTGATTTCAGTGCAGACTCTTTTTTAAGATAGAAAAATGGATTCCTCTCGTTATGTAAATAAAGGGTATACGTTAAAGAGGTAACCATCTTCGATGTATCCTGTCTGAATGGAAGCTTAGCTAATAGATCGAAACATGGATTGACAAGCCTTTCCAATACCCCTGACATCGGCTTATGTCGTGTATAGTATGCTTGCGCTTCATTATCATTTAAAGGAAGCAGATCATAAGACATCCGTTTTGACGTGTTTTTTTTCCTGATAAAACAGAAAAAAATACCAATGAACATTGTGGTCTGAGTAGAAATTATTCATAATCTACAGACGACATGAGAGTATGGACAGCTAATTTCATGTCTTATGTTATCTTTCGCCCAGAATAAAAGGGTGAAACATAATATATATTAGTAAAACGAATTGGATTCATCTGCTTGGTTACCCTTATTCGTAGCTAGTCGTATCATCAAGCCTAGCGCTGTAAACGTGTGTTGATTAACTGTATTTGCACGCGCATCCTAAACAATGTTCATAACCTTCAACCTTACATTTTTTCAACATTTTGTGTCTCAGACGATGTCAACTTTAGTTAAAATTCTAAACGCCTGACGCAGTTTTCAAACATAATATATATATATATATATATATACGGCAGTAATTTAAGTAAAAACAGTAAGTGAAAATAACATTCTATTTCTGGCCTACTTTTTATAGCATATTAAATTGATATGATACTAAAAACTTGAGGGCTTAGCGAGTGAAACAATGAGAATAGACGGAACAAGAATCGCTTACGAACCTGTGAGTTGCGCTACCTGCTAATGAATAAAATCTGAAAACCAGAAAATACCCATACCATAATTTAATTAGGTACCTATCGATGAATTGACTACACGTTCTTGACACAACTGTTGTAGAAATGATTTTCATTGGACGCTATGAATGAATGAATGATTGCAATTCACCTTGTGCTCCTGTCTCCTGTTTTTCCTTTGCCTATAAAGAAGCCCTCTATCAGACGCTGAATCATAAGCTGACAGAGCAGTTGTATCATAGTTTGGCTAAATGCGTCTGCTCTGTGCAAAACGAAAGTGAGGTTCCAGTCTATTAATGGCTTTTTGTTGGAGTGCGTGCGGTTCATTGTACACACTTAAATCCTCGATCCGTACACAAATAACTTAACCTAACTATTATCATATAAAATCATGATCGACTGGCATATAGTTATAAAAGTGGACGCTAGCAACGCATTGCTTTTGCCTTCTATTGCTCTGAAGCCGTACGGCCAACTTTGAGATTCGGCTAGATCATTTATGTGCTTAGAGTATAATTTCACTGCTAGGCTTAGAAGTGTGATATTTCCGACTGCATTCGATGTTTCTCCAGACAGATCTACTGGATGGACCATCGCCAAAAACAATACCACCCCTCTTCCCCCGATCTTCGTCTAACTATGTGTTGGGTAAGCTTCTCTCACAATAATTGACGTCCGTTACGTTGCCTCTTGTTATTGTCGTTAAAGCTCTTCAAATGACGTTGGGCATTTTATCATAGCATTAGCGGATGTATCGCCGATAGAGTGACACTATTATGTTTGCAAACGTTATTTCGGACTGAGGCATCGGTGTATGAAGTTACAGCCGCTACGATATTTTGCTTTCCCCATGTGAAACTGGGCAGTCGATGTTACCGGGTTTTTCCCTTTGCCTCTTCTGATTGGGTATTATCTGCATGGTGTGCTTCCCGACAAAATAGTTAGGAAAAGCATTAGTCAGTAGTAGAAATATGCACACATCTTTTCCTCCAGTTAATTTCTAACCGAAGGCGCAATTGAAACTGTATTACCATGATAATAAGTAATGAAAAACTTTTCCGATGTCATATTCAGTTGACTATTTGGAAATTGTAAGCTGCGTTCCTTTACTCGACAAGAACAATACAAACATTTAGACTTCTTTCTATTTCGATAGCATGTTTCTATTGACCCGCTGCAATTTGCCCTATATCAATTCGACTATAATCTTCCAATCCATAATATTGTTCCCTTATTTTTTTAAGGTAGACAACCGCGAGAGGCATAATAGTTACACTTGCTTCACCTTTCGACCAACACAAGAAAAATGCTGATGAGTAAGCCGGACAGCCAGACTAAGAACATGGGTTGAGTTGCTTTAAGATTTAAGGCTCTGACAGGATCACCTGCTTTAGTCATTGCCCTGCACTCATCTAGGCCACCGTACTGTGAGTATAGCCAACGATTTATAAGGCCTTGCTCAACCATCCAACGAATCCTACAATGAAAAAGAGAACGTAGAGAAAAATTGTTAGTGACGATATTCACTAGATACATGGTTTTCTCCGCAATAAGTGTTATATGCACATGTACGATGTATGCCTTACACGCTACAACCTGATGCCCAGCTGGGTAGCGGTCTAATAGTTTGGATTGCTTTCGTCATCGTTGTCACCGATTGAAGTGAGAGCAAAAACGTGTTTAGCGGACTTTGCGGTCAATAGATAGCACAGACCGCACAGATAAAAGGCTTTTGACATCATCATTCGTTTTCATGTCGCAATTAGCCCATCCAATACGATATAATGAGCCGAACGAATTAATTTTTTATGGCCTAAGTCGACATTGTACACGACCACGTGTATTGTCCTATTTTATATTGCATTGTGTGCAACTTTTCAAATTATATTGCTACTGATAACGAAGGCTTTAAAGATTGACCAGACTGACGCAGTTTTCGCCGATTATCTTACCTGTAGACACTTAAACGGAGAAGATTGAGGTAAATAACGAAACGAGATAGTTTCAGTCAACAATGATTTCTAGCCAGGATTAACAAGTTAAATTATTCGAGTCGAAAGGCCCTTGTGCCTTATCGTCTGTCTCCTACCGAAAAATGTACAACGTAAATAAACAACACCTAAAACGATGATTTTATTCTGTCTTTAATGAAAACCTTAACCCAGTAGCTTTATCACCCTTTATGCTAAATTAACGGTAATTTTTTTTTCGTCCAGTGTTATGGAATGAATTCCTGCAAACTTCTAATTGTCTTAACATTTACAAAAGTGCGCTTGCAAAAGAGTATCCCATAAGCAACACTTTATTTAGCATACAAAAAAAAGGTGCCGTAATAAGAAAATCTACCTAATTAAGGGAAAGGATGTGCCACGTATATATCTTTGTTGAAGCTCAGAATCAACATGTTTATTTATATATATATATATATAATATATAAACCATTCGCATTACGAATGATGTGACTGATAATGTCCATAGGCAGAATACGATCGTTTGCTAATTGCCTCTGTATAAGCATTTTTAAAAAAAGCATTTATAAAGCAACACTTTTTTTATGTGCGTAATCAGCCTGTAGGCAAATGAAAAGTACATAAAGCGTGCTTGCAACCAAATATTTAGTAATAATAAAACTACCTTTTGTTGATCGCCGAAGTAATCTGTCGAGGTAAGTTCCTATGAAAGCACATTGCAACTTCATGCGGAAGAAAACCTTCAATAGCAAAATGATAATTCCCAATTGGCATTGCGCGAAGACAAGTACGAGCCACGTGATAACGCATCACAATAACGCTTGACATAATTACCGCTTTACTGCGGATTACCTGCGAATAAAGCATTTCGTCAGATTAGTACTTCGTAGACGTAACGTGTATTAGGTTGACGTAATTTCACTAATAGTAATCTTAACGCATCTATCATTGGACGACGAACGTCCCCTATGGAAATCCAATAGTACTGACAAAGTACGAATCACTGATACGATCATTCATCAGACTGTTCGTTTCTATTCAAACCGCTGTGGGATGAAGTCTATGTTTGTGACTTCAGACCTACTAATTCAACGCAACTTTTCAGTGTGTATATATATTCTAACTAAAAACAAACCTGATCCATCGTTGCATCGCTGTACAGTTCTCTTGTCTCTTTAGACGATTGGTATTTCATAACCAAGTTGTACACGTTCAAATAGTCGACTGAGTCTGATGTCTGAAATATTCATAGGACGCAATTTAATTTCTTGCGCAGAGCATACGCAGTATCCGACAATAATCAAGCTGATCAGACAGCGCGGACAACAGGGGACTGGAATGTCCTTCGTACCTTCAGTAATGCCTCGTAAGCGCTTCCTCGCCAGACGAATACTGGCATATCTTTTTTTGCCAGTTGTTTCATTGACTCTATTTTAATTGGATCGGGTTCAATCATCATCGTTGCTTTCATGTGACCAGTATATGCAGTCATAAGTACAATCGTTCCCAGCCACCAAACTTGAAGCAAAACACGCAATGAATCCGTTCGAGGCAGGTGTACAGAACCTGGGAAATTATAGGTATATTATATCATTACGTATTTTATTAAAAACCATTCTCGCTTTTCTGTTGTAATAATTTCGTATCATTCATTATCAGATAAAGCTATTTAATTATTTTCGGATTTAAACTAAAACGTTTGGATCTATGATGCCAAACTAATTCCGGTAACAGGCTCAAAACCATTTCTCCATGAAGTGGTCCGTTTCTGGAGTATTGCCATAAATATTATATTTATTTAACTTTCTACAATTATTTCTATTGTTGCTATTTTGCACGTATAAGTTTCACGTCTAGCCACACTGTTCTGAAGTGCAGTAAGCAAAGATCTTAGCAGCAAACCATGTGGGGGGTTTACTCTCACATTTTCCAAGTAGCCACCGCCCACATGTACCCCTTGGGGTATGTGCGCGTTTTGGTAGAATATTTCTCGCTCTCGTATGCAGTTTTATATCGGCCTTTCCGTCTCATTCGTATTTTGGCGCGTGAATTAACCCGCACACACGAATTTCTCTCTGCAGAGATACTTCTTTGCGTTAATGTATGTATTTTCTGTATTAGTCATGCTTGCATTTTGTAGGTTCAAATCACTTTGTCGCTTCCCGGCTTTTTCACTTCTGTCCGCTTCGGAAAAGTCGGTGCGCCAACAGCTTTGCGTCTCGTACACAAACTGTTCACTACAAAGATCTTCCTGAAAAGTTTTATTGTACGGCCAGATTCGGACGTGCGCCTTTCGCAACAGCGTCCATTTTTACAGGTTTGGAACTCATTTGGTCTACCTAACGTCTACTGTAATTATTTAAGCGTCGGCCTGAAAAACGGGCAAGAGGCTTTATCTTATATTTAGTAATCTCTACATTGTAATCGAAATTGCTAGGCCTTTCAGCGTATGCCCTACTACAAACCCTGTTTTGTTCGTAAGATACAACTGAGCCTATCAAAACATGTTTTATTAGGTGTTGAATAATTACACATAAAAAAAGATAAAGATTATAAAAGACTTCCGGAGCGCTAATATTTCGTTAGCGATAAAATGGTTCTACTTACTTTCAGCAAATACAGCTTTTAGGTATGTCTCTATATAGTGACTGAATCTTCTGAGGTAGTGCTTAAAGACATTCTCGGGGCAAGACACTTTCTCAAAGTAAACGCTTAAAAGAGAAATCCCAATTATTGTAATGGTCAGGGCTAGCCAAACCTGCAAAATATATTTAAGGTGTATTAAACATTATCAAAAAAAAATCAATCATATTACAAAATTTTTAAATAGGAAGTAGTTAATAAATAAAGTCATTGTCTGTTTAGTGGCGACCAGTCAAAGTGGTGACGATTATGTACTATACTATACTGTAGTGATTCAGTGCTATCTGTACTCAGGCAGTAAAGTCGTAAACGATCATGCAATACCTAATACAAAACATGCTATTCAGTATCGCAAGATGTTTATATAAGTCAAAAAAGAATTAAGAGAAACTAAAATGATCCTTTTTCATTCGATGTATGTATTAGTTAGTCTCACTATTGTTATTATTATTAGCGTTGGTAAAACAGAATAGGCCGTATTGATTACGAAAATAGGTAGTATGTAGGTAAACTAAAAAATAAGTTATCTGTGTATCAACTTATTTTTTGATAAATACACCTAGAAAAGAGTAAAGTGCTCGCATGTGCTGTTGGCTATAGAGAAATTTCATATCCTGTCTACAGTACAAAGTATGCCTACTTACCGTCCAGTTAAAGACCATCAGAAATCCGAAAGCATTTACTTGCGTGTAGGTAGGATATCCTGATAGGATTGTTAAGTAGTCTGTTGTGAGCATTGAACTGAAGTCGACCGCCGCAAAACGCTGTTCTGTAAGAGCGATAGGACCCAGAGCAATATCGGTCCTCTGAAATGTAAACCAATAATTATCTTTCAAATGCCTATAAATGTTTGTAGCAGAAGGTCAAAGAAGCTTTTAGACGAAGCCCCAACGTCAAGTAACTTGCTACGAAAAGAGATCATTATCGCAATCGTGCTAATCACAACACATAAAAATAAGCTGGCCGACGTACTCGCACTATCTGAGCGCTTCGGCAGTGTGTGATCAGCCTTTGGCCTGATTTCGACTACTACTATCCGTGCGGCATATAAGATTTCACGTACATGTTTATGGTTGACGAAGTTAGTGTAGCCTTGAGAATAATTATTGTCATACAATTGGCGTGGACAGTGTGTGCAATTCGAAATCAGTGCACATGCTCCCCCCGAGCTCTGGTAGAACCAGCAAGCTAAATAAACAAGGTGCGTAGTAAAAAAGAATTGTAAGCAAAATTATTTTCTAGAAAAAAGAGCGAATTCTTTATAAGCTTTTCCTGCACTCCTAGATGCAAACAACTCACATTGTTATAAAGCATTCCAATCTGCCCAGTCCAATTATCGTGTATTTTCACGCCCCACTCGCCATCTTCGGGTGCCTCCATACTGTATTTGTAATTTAAGGTCTCGGCTAGGGTGTCCGCTAGATTCTGCATAGGTCCCCAGGAAGCAGTTCCGTTTGAGAAAAACCATGGAGGCAACTTAAATCGAACAGGCAGCAGCGTGAAGAGTTGGTAGTAGTACAATCGAACGTTTGGCCATATTTTTGACTATTCGATGGTGGAACTACAGATCGCAAGAAATACTTTCTGCAGACAGATAAAGTATCGCACTCAGCGTCGATTACAGTTGTTTAACGTATTACTTACGTGGGCTGCCGTCATCTTAAGTAAGCCATTTGTCAAAAATTCCGATGCGTCTGAAAGAAAGGCATTATTATTATTAAGTTCAAGACTAACAAATACTGAACAAAACGGAAGGAATCAACCTGGCCAAATATAGCATGTTATTTAATTATTATTGGTTCATTAGTTTATGGCCTTTCCGAATAGATACTGCTGTCAAGCAATATCTCGTACACATACGACCAGAGTTGTTCAGTAACGCCAGCTGGGCTTGAGCGTACTAACCTCAACGACATATATGCGTGCACGAATGAGCATCATTAAAAACTTCCCTATTACGCAAATCAGCGACGCACCAGCAAAAACGTTGCAACGTAAATAAAAAAACAATCACTAGAAATGTATGGACAGTAGTTCACCCAGCTTACTGACATTTCTCTTTGCCATATGATATTGTACTTCATTCGTATCAAAGCAAACAGTTGAAAAGTAATAGATCGCAACGTAAATTACCTTGTCTTATTTTACAGGTTCATAAATAATAATAATAATAAATAATAATAAAGACTAATACCTCTCATTAACCTTATTATTAGGAAGTGATAAAACTGTAATTAGATCTGTAATCTTTTAATATGATGCGTCGATTAAGTGCAGGTCGGGTTAGCGGGCTTACTGCATAAGCTACTAGGAGTAAACCTCGTTCGCCGACAAAAACAACCAATTGCAGTAAAAATCCTTTTCCTTAACGCCTTCCCAGTAAAAATCACTGTTCGACAGGCCACATGCACAGTGTATTGTTACAAAGTAAGCACAGGACAAACTCAAGGCGAAAGGCTCACTATTGAAGGCAACTCACCATCTAAACGCAGCAAATTAACCCCTCATAAAATTCGCCTCAAATTCATATTTGAGCTTACGTCTTGCTTGGATTTTACTATTTAGAATTAGAGCAGTTTATAGCAAAATCATCCAATATGACAATATAATTGTTCGTGACACATCATGCTCGTAGCTCACAATGAAAACCCTTTGCGTAAATTAAATTACATATTTCCAGTAGTTATTAAGAATAAGCCTGTCGTAAAGGAAAATACTTACTAAACCCTACCATATTCCACCTACAACCTGTCTACAGTACGACGACCTTAATCCTCTTTGCCAAGTAGCCAACTGGCCCACACAAATTGTACAAGAAACGTAAATATAGTGCAAACTTAACGAATGATTTGTCTAATGATACAGTGGCCATTTGGTTGAATATTTAACAACGCGTTTACCTTCTCCGCCAGCTAAATAGTTTACCATTGTCATCGCCATACAAATCGCTGCTATAACCAGTCCTTTTTGATCGATGTAGATACCGCAACGCGTTCTGCCTTTTAGTAAATACTGTATAAATAATAAACAATGTACATATAAGCAATATAATACGTATTTAGTTATTATCAAGTTCTGAATGGGTTCTAAGGATTCTTTGGCATACACATTCAGACAAAGCCTTTGCGATAGATTTCGCATCAACTGTACAAACGCTTCACCTGATCATTAGAAAGCTGTTTCGCAAAGTTAATTGTTGATCGGAAATGCCGTCGGTCACACTGCTTCACTGAAACAACAGCACCACAAGTAAACTTGAGAGTGCATTATCCACGTTCCTCTCAAGAAGAGAGCGCATACGTTCATATCTCAAAACGTGGGGGGCGTGCGACAAAGTTCCATTTATCGTTAGTGCCAAAAAGATAGCACAATTCATTAAATATATCGCAAAATTCTGGGTACGGTAGTATAAGTTATGAAGTAACTAGGCTTTCATTCATAATGTATATATTTATAGGTGATCAGAAAACTAATAAATCAGGTATTATACTTACTTTGTCACTACCAATTTAACTGAGTCTGGGCAACAGCCTCTTCACGAACCCCTGCAATCGTTCATGCGCCTTCGTCTTACGGCGTTCAACTGCCGCCCTTTCGCCTACTCAGTACATCTATTTCGTCCTTTTTGCCGGCGTTACAAATTAAGCAGTCAGCAGCTTTAAACGATGTAGCATCCCTTGTTAATGATTCTGCAGTGTTCGGTCCACAACTTCGCAGCTATCGATCATCAGTGCCGCTAGCCATCGAACCTGGACGCACGAACTCTTCACCAGTTTTGCTTTCAACCTTTTTCTGAGCTATCGACCTTATCCTGCTTCCAAGCGTATCGCTCTGAAATTCTTAGGTCTAGGATCCGACTTATCGTTATCTCTTTTGCGCTTAGCGTCATTCAGCGTTCATTGCCATCACCTGCTTAACACTCGGTGGCCGGTTGAGCAATAAGTTCCCGCCCTTCTTTTTTAAAAGATCAGTTTATCTCCCTTCGCTTGTCGTTTACCATTGATATACCGCTCAAAAGTGATTTTTCTGTTCTGTCAGCATGTTATAGCAATATCGTGTTGCAAGCGCAATTTCAACCCGAAAGAGCTCCTTGACTTTGGATATACTAGGTGCAAAAAAATGTATTTTCAATACCTATTGTATTATGATTTTCCTCATGGCCAAAATTTAGCTGAAATAGCCTAGAACATTCGCTTTGTGTACGGTGACGGTGGCATCATTCGAAGGACTGCCTGAGAGTGGTGAACCAAACTCGGGAATGGTTATCGAGACCTAAAAGAATGCCCTTCGCTCGATATGACATTTCTGAGTTTGACGACGACCACCTGAAGGTACCTTTGAAAGAAAACAGCTAGCAAGTAAGTCGGGAATCAGCCGAAAACGTGGGCTGCAGCCACAAAACCGGTGTCAACCACTTCGAGTTCTCTGGATCAATACAAACACTTGAAACGTGGGTTCCTCATGAAGCGTCTAAATCCAACAAGATGGGAGAAAATCGTGAACAATGACTGAGAATAACCTAACATAATAACTAATTGTCACAGTAATAGAAAATACGGTGTGTTCAATATATTAAAAAAGACCGCAGGAACTTCTTATCCAACCTAAATACGTAAAAACGTAGAAAGGGCTTGTACGAAGGGCAGGTGTTGGATTCGTACAAAAATGTACGTTTACCGTGTCTTATAATGATAGAGCGACCACAGAGATTTTTCCGCCTAAAACAGCGAAATATATGAAGGACAGAAAGACGGTCCGTTTCCATGTATATTTCGGCAGGCAGAATTGCTTTTAAACATATATCGTTATCAAGATGTACTCACCCTAATGCAAAACATACCTTTATATAGTGATTTTCAAACGATGGATTCGATATCTGTTAAAAGACTTCAAAAATCTTGTGCGGTCATAATATATTTCTGTTATGGACATTACAATCGCAGCCTTAATATATTAATTATCAATGCTATTTAAGAGGTGAGCATAACAAGCTTAACAACCGCTGTGACGGACTTATATTCTTGGACCTGTTCGACCTGCATTGTGGTTAAACCTGTTATACTGGTGTAAGACCAGTCGCCGAGGCTCTTTTGTTTGCCGAGGAATTTGTTTTATTTGTATAGATAACATCTCTAACTTGCGAGGTCTACAAATATTCGAATTACGGGCGGATCAGCGGGTTGCTTTAGAATACCGTGAGCTACTACAGAACTTGAATAGACTTGGAATAGACGAATAGATCTCTATTACGCGTTACTAGAACAATTTGAGCAAAAATACAATATAGTAGCTGCTGTATGGTTGTTTTTTCAATTATTTAATCAGAACGTATAAAAACATACATTCATATTAGGATACAAAAAAAATCGCTGAGGTACAGATGATAAACCTGTGCGATAGAAATGTGCGATTGTTTGCGAGCCTTTGTTTACCTATTCACCAGCTCAACTGGAAGTCAGGCTGTGGTCCTTGCAACACCATGCCCTTTTCAGTTGGCGAAAAAGAGTGACAAAACTTAAAACAAGAATACGAGATAGCCAAATGGTGCAGCCAGCTACCAACTCCTTCTTATGGCAAACATGCTGTTTCAGTCATTCAGGGTAGAAACACAAGGCACGATTTGAACTCTGTAATACGACCGAGAAACCCAATAAGAGTTCAACAACGCCGTCTTCACTGACTCTCTGCCAATACGCTGACGGATCGACCAGTTCATTTTGGTTACAGTTTTTCCACTGGGTAATAAACTGGTGTGCCTGAATGAACAAAGTAGCGCAGATCCCATGTCAATCAAAAACTAGTCCCACATCTGAATCATATTATGACGCTGTTGATCTGTCATTCGCTCAGACTACAGCATGATATACAATAGATCGCTGGCAGCTGTCAACTACATTGCGGCTGTATAGTGGTACGGCACGTAGAGCTGCTATTCGTTCATTCAGCCAAGCCCTTCCGCACGCATGTTAATGTCACGCAAGCTGCATCGGCTGCTTGGCGTTGTCTAGCAGATGACTTCGGTTCGCAGGTCACTGCGCAAGACGCACAGAGAAAAGCAAGCTTATCAAAAAAAAGTCTAGTACCATACGTAAGTGAGCTCCTATCAAGATGAGAGAGATTCTCAACCTTCACATAGGTCAAGCTGGAGTTCAATTGGGCGAGCAGTGTTGGAAACTCTACTGTCTCGAACACGGAATCGGCAATGACGGCACAGGGGTCTACGAGGACAAAAAGCTCCGTGACTCACTGATATCGTTCTTCACTGATACAGGAAGAGACCGATATGTTCCCAGAGCGATTTTTGTCGACACGGATCCCTCAGTTATTGGTGCAATGAGCAAGAAGCCTATCGGGTATGTACAAGTAATGTGATGTGCACAATGGGATACACTACTCAAGCAGCATCAGCGACCTTGGGAAAAAACAATCGATAAATATGTGTCTTTTTTTTCATTTTGTCTTAAAATGAATTTAGTTTATATTAGCAATGTGCCACTGATCAATATCATCTTACGCTCACAAATCACTGACAATTATGGAATACATAACGTTTGTTCACCTGCAATGGTACACGTTTCTCGATATGTTTGTACAGAAATTGATAAGTTTAAAGCCCTCAAAGTTCACGGGGCAAAGATCCTGGGTCCGCGAGAGAATTAACGCGCCACGCTGCCCACACCTTATCTATGGAGATTCCTTTTAAATAAAATAACGCTAATTTTACTGGAAGATATTATGGACGCTGTGTTTCTCTCTATTTGGAACAATTAATCCATTCAATTGCGATGGCCAAAGTGTATAAAACGCGGACTCTTATCATGACAACCTTCCGAGCTACTTGAATACGAATATTGAAGTAAGCTATTTTTCCTTGATCAAAAATACGTTCATATACATATATGCGTCCTTGCAGAAACATGCCAATGAATACAATGCCAAATCTGCATGTGATTTGCTTACAGGAAACTTTTTAGCCCTTCGCATTTGATCTCTGGGAAAGAAGATGCTGCAGATGTCTACTCTCGCGGTTACCAATCGGACAATCGCCAGCTTTTAAAAAATACTCTCAATGTATTAAGGCGCGTAACTGAAACTCTAGACTCACTTCAAGGTTTCGTAGTATCACACTCTATCGGAGGCGGTACAGGATCTGGTTTTACGGCTGCCCTTCTACAGCAGCTGCACGAATTTTACGCGAATAAGTGCCGCCTACAGCTGATGATCGCACCTTCTCCAGACTGCAGCGAGGTTGTAGTTGAGCCTTACAACGCTGTGCTTCACGTAGACTCCACGTTCGAAAATGTCGACTGCACGTTTATGGTTGATAATCAAACACTCTTCAAGCTTTGTCGAGACCGGCTAAAGATTAGGAGTCCATCTTATGACAACGCAAATGCTGTCATTTCCCAGGGTTTTTCGTCAATCATGAATTCGGTGGGGCTGGATGGATCCTTGAATGTGGACCTCAGCGAGTTCCAAACAAATCTCGTCCCTTTTGGAAGATTACATTTTACGATGATGAGCTACAGTCCATTCGTTACATCCGGACACCGCGATCTAAGCCGTGAGACGTCCGTCGTGGAGATTACTCGTGACCTCTTTCAGTCAACTAACAGATTCCTAACTTGCGACCCACAGAAGGGCAGTTATATAGCTTGTGGCATCCTCTACCGTGGGGAAGTTTCACTGTGTCATGTGCAGCAAACTCTGTCGAATATACGCGCTCAGAAGACGCTGAGTATTGTTGACTGGAGCCCGGCGGCTTTCAAGCTTGGGGTGAACCCTCGCAAACCATCTGTACTTACCGACAGTGGTTTCACAAAGGTTAGTCAAATCAACAGTTAATTTTAAGGTCAAACACGCATCTAAGCGGCCAGAAACAATGTGTTACAGTAATTTACATATGCTTTGATTTTGTGTATGTAATCGCTTGAGACTTTAGTAGCACTTGGTACACTACCACCTGTTTTTAAATTCTGTGGTTTTCCTACCCAATTTTGATTATTGTAGTTAAATCACTTTCCTTTTTATTGAATTATTATTAATTTATTAAGAGGCTGCACCCAGACGGCGCTTTAGCTGCCTTTATTCTAACGTAACGTTATAACAACTGGCACAACATATACTAAACAAAATTTCATGGGCCGCTAAACGTTATCTGACACACCGTTTGGATTCTTCTCTTATCGTTATTATGATATCATTTGTTGCTATACATGTGAGCGGTATGCCCATTTAAATATTGCGACAAACCGTATCGGTAAAAGGGGCCAGCGTAGTTGCTAGCCAACTGAATTTTTCGTATACTAACTCCAAATTTTAAAACACAAAAATAAAGTTTATAAAAATATTGTTTTTCTGGTAAATTGATTTTAGTCAGTTTGTTCACAATCACACACGTTTATACGATTAACGCAGCTCTGCAAAACGCGTTCTGATTAAATTGTTATCAAAACTGCTACAGATGGGAGAACTTTTTAAAAATTAGATTTGTAGTACATGTGGCGATGCTATTCAAATAAGCATTTTTTTGCGGTATTTATGTTTACTTTGAATTCAGGTACCGCGCTCCGCGTGTATGTTAGCAAACAGCACGGCGCTTGCTTCGGTTTGGAGAAAGGTCACGCGGAAATTTAATCTCCTGTATCGCAAGAAGGCTTTCGTACATTGGTAAGTGTATCTTTCATTTGCCTGAGAATTTAATTCGAGAACGAGTCCTATCTAAATATATTCAGATATGCTTGATAAATAAACGAATGGTATTCATAATCTATAATCAGTCGATAAATTGGAAAAATAAAAATAGTAGTTGTTTTCGTCATTAACTATGTTAGGTTCTATTGGATATGCAGGATTATACTGCTCATGACTTAATAAATCAATTAATTTTTCAAAAACTCAACGAACGAAGACATTAAAAATAAGTTGGTTTATTATTATTTTAACACTATTTTAAACTTTTAGTTTTGCTAGTGTCTCATGGGAAGTTTAGAAAAGCTAGATGGGACCGATCAATTTTGGTCGTATTTTTGCCGTATCAACTTGCAAATCTTGCTTGGCAAATCCAGGAAGTTTCTAAGAATTATTTAGTTTATAAGAATATTTAGTACATGTCCTAAAAATTGATTCAAAACTAAACTCGGGGCGAAAACACGTCAATATAAATGACTGTTCAAATTTACAGGTATTATAATGAGGGACTTGAAGAAAATGAATTCAAGTCAGCTTATGACAACGTTGTCGACATGCAAAAAGAATATGCGGATCTCGAAAGTAGCCAGATTGAGCACAATGCTTCACGATCAGACGGACTATAGAAAATGTCCCATATAAATGTTCTGCTACATTGACCAGCTTTCTGGTTGTTGGTGGTTGTAAAGCAAATCTACCTCTGAACAACGTTCAGAAGCAGTTCTTTAATAAACACTGTGGCTCGCAAGTATTTTTTGCTCAATCGCCAAAATGATAATATGATATATATATAATGAGGAGTAATATAGGTAATTATGATTAACACGCCGTTGATTATATGTACATAGTTATTGTCTGTGATACGTTTTAGCAATTGCATTAATTTAAATATGATTTTAACAAGTTATTACTTTTTTATTTCTACTGATATATCCGATACAGTAACGGTTTGTAATAGTATTTTTTTATTTACTTTTACGTGACCTATGCTTGATTAGAGCGTTCTAAACGAAGCCTACCTTTATTACATTTCTACCCTATACCTAATATATATCTAATGACCTGTTAAATGGTATCGGTTTTAGAATTCGATGCGCTTTTGCCTACTATTATGGTTATATCTGCATACGTGAAAATTATGTTCGGTAGTCATTGGCCAACGTGTTAATACCCGAGACAATCGTTGTAGACCTACAGCTTCTCTACGAAGTATCTGGAAACCGTATTTTTATGTCGCAATATAAACGAAGATGTTTGGATCTACTACTCCGTTGTGCTATTAATGTCTAGTAAGTAATATCTAAGATAGTTCGCAGTGGGAAGTGGTCGAAATTCCACAGGTTAGATCTGGTGTATGTGACACGTTAAAAGTGCGAAGAATGCTTCCAAACAAGCTCATCCAAACGGATAGCCAGGTTTGGTAAAAAAAAACCCAATAATCGCGTTATCGCAAAAAATTATGTTCTGAAGTACATGACTTGCTTAAAGAACGATTTATTTCAGAGCGTTTCACTCAGGTATATATATACCTGAATGTATATATAGATTATATACATCTATATATATATATATAGATTATATACATCTATATATATATATATATAGATTATATATATCTATATATATATTTAGATTATATACATCTATATATAATGTAAAAAAAATTCCTATAATTGTAGTCGAGATGTTGCCTCAGCCTTTTTTAAAACAAGATTGTCATCGTAGTACATATTACCTTTAATCAAATACAAACAACGTTTTCAAATCCATAGCTTAACTCAAACTGAAGCAATTCGAGAACCACTTTCGGAAAATCTGCACCACAAAACTGACCAGCTCTAATAATATGCGCATTAAATTTTCAATAACCATCTGTATGTTTCTTCTTTTTCCCAATACTTGCAATTAATCGATATATCAGTAGTTAGGACGTACAAAACACAATGCTAAATAGGCTAAGTTATGTCTGAGTTGTTGCTTCAATTAGTATTTCATGAATGGGCTTATGTATATGTCCTCGCCTTCCTATCGCAATGAATGCGTCTTTGCCGGCACATAAAACTAAAGTTGATGGGAAGAGCGCAAAAAGCCAATGAAAACCCTTAAAAATCCTGTGAAACTGGATCAAATTGCCATTTAACTACATTAGTGTATTGATAGCAACCAGTGCGAAACGTTAACTTGTTGAGTAATACCTATAAAAGAAGTGCCTGTGATTATTTCGGCCTTGACGAGTAGAGTTGACTGTAATTTCAGTGTAATCCGCTGAAAGCATCAACATAAATTTGTTAAATGATGATTTCGAAATTTGATTTCATGAAGAGGTTCGTCCAATAGTCAGACGTTATTACTTCAATGTAAGAATACTACAACCAAGCAGGTTTTTTATAGTATATCTTTTTTTTTTACAAAAAGGAATAACCTATTTTTACTGACTTATCCTAATAATAATAATAATAATAAATAACGTGACTTTAATACAAATATTGACAGAGATGGAACACTTTTATATGAACATTTAAAAACCTGCTCTAGGAACAAACGTATCTCAGATTTAGCTACCGAGCGGTAGTACTCTGTCCACAGCGTATTCTATACGTTGCGCCAGCCTGGTACCGATAGGGTTCGATTCGCGCTTGGGGTCAAAGAGATTTTGCAATTGGCACCGATCATCACGTGTAAGCGAAATAAGGTAGTGGCGACGGGCGTATCCACCGCAACAATAATATGTCTTGCGCGACTCTCCATCCAGAAGGGGCACAAGCATTTTAGGTTCTTATCCCTCAGATACAACAGACCGTACAGTTAGCAACCGATGTAAAGGAACATGACATAATATTTCATTGCTCGAGACCGTTAGTCGCGGATTAAAAAAATATTTAGCCACAGCAGCCATTGGTCTTTATTAGCACGCAAAGCGGAAGTGCTGACTTGGTTTAAGATAACGATAACGGTACAAAGAAAAAGAACTTCTTGAGCGTAATAAAAATCTTACTTTTAGTAATTTTACTATGTGAAATACGGTAAAATATACATTTTCACATACTGTTTAAGCTAAAATATGACTACAACTATCATTTTGTGTAATGAAGTTTAAGCAATGTCATAGTGTGTTCAAAAGCCATGATCGGCTTGACTGTTTCGGCGATTTTGGCTTTTGATCCGTTTCTGTCGGAGGCGAATGGCAGCTGCGCGGTCCAGTCTATAAAAAATCAAAATCAAATGTAACCTACTATTTAAAGATTGCACATGAATTAAGTATTTAAAAATGTAACTCTGTAATGAAAACTCAAGTAGAAATTTTAAAAAATGTTATCAAGGCGCTTCGAATCTGTATATCTTTAGCGCTTCGAATATATTTAGTGGACAATCATTTTCAATGCATATAATTCTCTATATTTACCGAGCTCTGTACTGGATGACTTTTCTACAAAAATGACGTACGTGCATAATTAGTTCGTCAATGTTGGTTTCAAGGCCAAAAGTCCGAAACCTATATATACCTTGCCTTGAGCATTTGTCGTGTCTCCTGGCTGACCTCTGGCGGAGGTTTACATGCTTCGAACACCATCGTCCGAATGCGATCCACACAATCAGCCGTATTAAGGATCTGCTTTCGAGTGCGGTCTGAACTAATAACAAAAAATCCATCCTTCGTAATGGAGCTGGCACACTATAAAGTACATATCACAAACGCCATCGTTAATACATAGAGGTTAGAACATGATAAAACATCACGCGGTTATAGCACAAAAATACCTTTACTAAATAATTATGAATAGCTATGTTTTTTGTCGCTATCGTTTTCATATATCACACAATTAACAATATGGGCTGACTTAAAAAATTATATATAGGTCTCAATTAAGGTATGCTATTTTGACGTATAGCATGCATTTGTATAAAAGATAATATCTACAGCAGAAAATACTATCCAAGGCTTAATAGCAAAAGCTCTCCCAGCTGAAACGATTTTATATCGCACTACATTTAATTGATATTAAACATGAAAATAAATAAGCGGCCCTCTAATATCTATTCGTTGTCGGCGCGGCAACAAAATATTTATCGATCATATTGCTAACAAAAGAACGTAATTCATACTTGGGTTTTGAGCCTTTTTTTCGCGTTATTAGGAATCCACGTCGCCGAATCGATATGGAACCGTATGTGCACTTTAGAGTTTGCTGAAATGATGTGGATATTCATTAATTGATCATACTATTCACCTGAAAGCCACTTGCGCTATTTTTTTGCGGTAGGGTTGTTAACATAAATAGAGCGTTAATTAACATAAAAATTCAAACCCCCCTTCTTCCCCCTTTCTTGCACGGTTATATTTTTATGTTCCACTTGCTACTTATTCTTCAACCTTTTGTTTACACAACTGACCTAGAAAGGTCAGGTTGTTCGGTCCATTCTTGAGCTTGTTTACGTTCACCTTATTTTTCTTCAAACGACGTGAAAAGTTATCTTCCCATTTCTTTCAGAACTTTTTATCTTGACTCTAGCAATGGTGCAGCTTTATTAGATTTTTCAAATGCTCAAAAGCGCGAAATTGCCATTATGTAATACTGGGTGGTTCGAAGCGCTTTACCCTCCATTAGCTGCTCTAGGGATATCCTAAATGTCTTATATTTTATATTCGGTACTGCCTTAGTTCCAAATTACTTTAGACGGTTGACATTCATCAGAATGAAACGAAGCGTATTTGCGTCCAACTTTGAATATCAAAACCTCAGGCATCGCTTAGTTTAATAAGCAAGCACATAATCACTGCACGATGATAAAGATATGGGCACCCTAAATAGCATCTCGTTTCATCTGTCGCGGCGGCTCTAATCGCAAATCATAGAGCTCGTTCACCAGAAGCAGACTAACCATAGCAACAAGGTTGTAATACAACGTTATAATAGTTCAGTCTATGAGGTATTTATGAAGAATTAGTACCCCAAAATTTGTAGTACATTTACATCTATGAAAAAAACGGTACATCTATAGATCTTTTTTTCAAAGCGTTCAAAAATAGTTATCAAAAAATCAAAAAAGTATCGATACTTTTTACGTAGAGTATTATCAATACGATAGCATTACTAGTATTTGCTCAAAAAGATGTTAATAAAGACTGTCGGCGGCAAAACACATATATAAGATTTTAGTAAAAGAACGATCTATATATGCTTCACTTGCTTTAGAACATTTATCATGCAAATATATTCGAAGCACACAAATTACGATAAGTAGTATTTTTTTAATAAATTCAGTTTAAATCACAATGATACGATGAATAACTTACTTGTATTTACATGTTGACCTCCTGGACCGCTACTTCTCGAGTAGGTAACACTCAGCTCTTCTGTAAAATATTAGCAAATTATGGTTAACATAATACAAATAGCATTGCAATATGTTCGGATTTTAATTGGAGCACGTGTGTTGGATATGTTGAACGTCCAGCGATCTACTATCTCTTATTTTTGTGACCATGTACACTGTCAAATATTACAGATAATAAGCTGAGTTCAAAGGGTATCAAGTGCTGAATGCATTACCGAGGTTTTTCAATTCGGTATATAGGGTAGTCCTATATTATCGAATGAAATACTTGTAATATCAAGCTACAAGTATCTCAATATTGGAACCTCTGTAACTAGTCAAAAAATACTAAATCACTTAAAATGACCATAAGTATGTATCAGGCCAAAGTTAGGTCATAATTCAAAACATTTTTTTCCTATGTAAGAAGACGAAATCATAGATTGCAGGAAATGCCATCATGTTGAAGAAGGGCTTCGGAGGCATCAATCGCATGCGAACACATGTTTGACTAAGATACTACTTACTCATAGGAATAAAGCCGCTGAATGTAGATTCTGTTGACTGGGGGGGCTGAAAATGTGAGTCAATGTAAATTTGAGAATTTTACCTATGAATTATCCAAGCTTTCGAGACATCTGCCACATACAACAGTTCGATGATAAAAGTCGTAATTACAGCATATTCATCAGTTACATTTAAAATCCTTTTTTGAAGAAGTACCTATTGCATATTCTAGTCCATCGGGTGAATGGTTCAACTGAGCCACTTCAACATTTTGAACCATAGCCTTTTATTTTTTTATAACGTATTAATGCTTGCAACGAATAGTTTTAATACATCTTGCTCGAAAAAAATGATGATGACTAATAAACATTAAGAATACACAAATAAAATGATGAGGTAACAGAATACTCTGACATCCTTATATGATTCCAGTACACCTTGTTGCTCGTCGTACTAACAACACGAAGCTTCGTGCACTTCATAAATGTTACGAAATTACTCGTTATAAAATGGTTTGCATATAGTGAAATTATTATAAACCAATTTAATTATTAATTTATGATATTACCATTGTCGTTTAATTTTGGCTTTATCCGTACTTAAGCATAAGGCACTGTATTTGATGTTGAAGCCATTCATGCTATTTCTATCGTAATGACTCTTTTATTAGTTACTATTCTAATTCGCTGCTGAACCATTCAATGCCGTAATGCTTATTCCATTGTTACATTTATGTAAGATGTGCAGCAGTCGTATTCAAGGTGCTCAAGTAAACAAATGTTGCCTAAAAATTGATATTAACTTCTCAACTCAGCCTTGGGTTTACTTCATCCTCCACGAAATGATTAGTCTGCGTAAATCTTTATGCTTAATTGCAGATGATCATTTTTTACCTGAGGGGAATCTGCTATAGCTTCGGGTCCCGCACCGTATAGGTTCTCAATATTAAGCGGTGACTTGAAGGAAGCTTCACGAACGCCAGTTAAACTAGTTCGTTTAAATAATACACCTAAAACGTGCCTTAGACAATGGGCCATGTTTGCCCCTTTGTGTCTTGTTTCGTTGGGGCTCAGTAACTCTGCGCGCACAACAGTTGCACTTCTGCCAAGCGAATTTCGAATATGCGGTGTGCTTACGGCACACGGCAGTGATTTGGCGCGTATGTGGGACGGGCGGGCAACATGAATACCCTCCGTTCCAGCATAAGTTTGTATTTTGTTTCTGTAAGTCTGTGTCTTCGGCCACTCCTTAGCACCTGCTGAAGCGATTCAAACTGCTTGCTTGAAATGTTTATTGCGTGACACTAATAGTACCAAACTGTACCACATTTGCCATGTTAGTTTTCCTGTATTTTAGGCTCATGATAATAAAACTTCACAGGCATAAGCTTTTTTTCGGGGTAGCATCTTCTCGTCAAGTAAAGCCTGACTTAACTGTTAAAGTTGTTATTGAGACTTTCTTTATATATATACATATATGTGCAAAACCCATTAGCCTTATTTTCATAACGTATAATATATAAATAAATTAGTATAGAAGGTCTTAAAAAGAAGCATTTCGATTATTTTTACTGGGTAGTCCTGGCTTAAAAAAAGGCTGGTGTCAAAAGTCTGTGAAGATTTATGTTTGCTCTCATAAAAAATAAACCATTGTGAATTGATGGTCGACTGCGATATACGCTTGGAGCTGGCAGCCGTCTGAGGACGTATAAAGCCGCCCTTTAGGCCTATGTATGATACGATTCTTTACTAGTATTCAGTAAACACCCTAAGCGCTAATGGAATTAATATCATACTTGTCCGGAGATGTTGTTAAAATTTCCTCCTAATCTTAACGCATGAAGCCTTACAATAGTCAAAATTAACTTGAAGAGGTGATATTACCGAATACAATGAAGGCAAAAGAAAGTTTCTATGGAAAGAGTTCTGCCAAAAAGCGAATTCGTAAACCCAAACATAACTGAGTACAACCTATGGTGAAGTAGTTAAATGGTTGATGTATTGTTCCTATTAGACCAACGTCCATTGGCAACGAACTTCACCAGTGATAGAATCGATGGAAGTAATTTTCATTTTTTTCCTATCCAAACATTTTTTGGGTATAATCAGCCCTCTTGTTTTCATCGTAAAGTTTTCCTTACGATCCTTATCGAACTTAATCTTATGATAATAATAATCTCAATCGTTGCAATAAGCTCTGCGAGTGTCCAACAACGTCTCTGGCAGACAAATTTAACATATCATTTGAAAAATCAAAAAGAGGTTATCTCAAAGATGTACATGGCTATATTTTTTTTGGCATTAAGTTTTGTGGCGCACACATATGTCTAAGAATTACTTTATTTAGAACAAAAAGAGATATACCGAGAGTCAAAACTTCGGTTACAACTAATTATGAAAAGAGAAAGACGACAAAGCAACTTGTTGTAAGTATAAATGAGATTAAGTATCCGTCCATTCAATTAAATAGATGGTCTTAGCAAGGATAGAATAATGGTTAGGCAAAGGAAATGGGACCTTTGCAGAGGGGCTGCAGAAGCTCAGCGAACCATGCTCCAATAGCTTATTTTATACGCAACTGGCGCAAACGTGTCCTTAGAACCACGGGCGAGGTTAATGATACGTTCAAATATTAACGTTCATCTTCGTTTTCGCTTCTACATACACCTGCGTTTGCAAAATGTGTTATTCGTTTTGCTTGAATCAGCTTTGAATGTATATATATATATATATATATATATATACACATTGTTTCCTTTTTTGGGTTGGGTAATAAATTCTCGCGTTTTTTTCCTTTTCGTTTTCCTACTTTCCTCAGTTATTTCCATGCTCTGTCAGCCTGTTTTAACGGTACTACGCTGCCGAAATAGCCTGAGATGTTTCGCGTACGTACAGTAAGAGCCCTATCGCTTGGAAGACTGTTCCAAAGTAGTTTGCCAAGTTGAAAAGCGTATCCGAGAGCTAGAGGATGCCCCCTATCTGAGTTGATGACAATCAACTGAAGACATCTTTGATGAAAAGCGGCTGAAAAATTAGGGACCACAAAACTGTTGTTAAGCGCCTCAAAGCTCCTTGGTCTATTATAGAAATTTGGAAGTTAGTCCGCAGTGATTAGTTTCTGTCATCGGTAATAAGAGGTGGTTTTTGCATGTTAACAGCAGAACAAAATTTGTGTCCCCCTGTCTTCAAAAATCCTTAGTTCTAGGGTTCTGGCAAAGGAACAAGCGTTAATCACGTAATGTTATATGTCGGATTATAGCGATAGTTAAAGACATTCCGATGAATCAGACGTAAGTGAACCTTCATGACTAATTCGATATAAGTCTCATCTCCTTTGACAACCCTAAGTTAAATATCTAGTCTTATTTAAGTTTAGTACATTCCAATAAGTAACTGACTCTTCGTATGACGTTTCTGTCACAAAACGATTTTTTAAAAATCAAAAACATCGATCCAATTTTTTGGAACGCATCAAGTTACTATATAAACTCGGTAAGTATATAGGGGCTTTGGCACATCGTATTGAATAAGCTTGGAAATACACTGACAGCATCTTGCTGCAATAGTTCCCACAAAACCACAGTACAAGAAAGATCTAGGATTTACGCAATAAAGAACTGCTAAAGATCAGTAAAAAAGCGTTGTCATCACTAACAACTGTACTTTATTTTAGCAAATGTTGATCTATGAAATTTAATGAATAAACAAATTTGATAAATTCCACAGTGGTACTTTGGTAGGACACGAATTTATTGGTAACGACGCAATTCATAATTCTTTGAACTTTTTTTTTTAACTAGCTCTGCATTTAGATATTAGATGTTTTTAAGATTTTATAACTTATAAATGACATTGTTCAATACCGTGATGTTCGGCTAGCATTTATGCAATGACCTGCAAATTGACCTTAATAGAACATTGGCAGCGTTCCAACAAAAAACACTCAATATGTCTTTAAGCACTAACGATATTGACAAAAAGGACAAGGCTTAATCGACCTTTACGATCTTGTAATTTATAAAATCGAAAATCCATAAATAGATGTTTATTATTAGAGGCCATTCGATACTCAGTACTACTATAGGACCGGGAGAGTTAGACAAAATAAATATCCAAAAGAAATAATAACACAAAGTTATAGAAAGGATAGATTGAAACGATCACGTGCGTTTAATAACTTACATTTGAAGACTAAATTTTGAATAGACACTGATTTTCCAGACGACTGACACCCTGAACGCGGATACAGTTAACATGTCAGTAATACATAGCTTAATAAACAACCTCACATTCGTTGTCGTTGTCAACAACCCGAAAAGATGATAACAGTTATTGCATTTCGCGGTCTGTCGATTATTTTTACTAGAACCACTGTGTGCGTGTCTTTACGTGGGTAATTGATATTTCTGAAAATCACTATGGTCTCTTGCGATGATGATCAGCCGTGCCAATACACCTTCTTGACTAACCTTCGGTTACAGACAATTTCAAAGACATCAGAACTATCCAGATTTAGCGAATTCGCCATTTTTCCAGTTGTTGCCTATAGTATCGTATAGTCAAATTATACCAGCCTTCTGGTTTTAGTACTTGTCCATGTGCAAGTACCCACGATCGACGCCATATGTACTATGCAACCGTCGAAGCGGCCATTGTTGGTCTGATCAAAACTCGTACGCCAATCGCTGTCATCGCTTGTACACCCATGCTTTGAACGTCTATGCTACTGCTGATAATGATAATTGTTTTGTTAGGTTTATTCGATAGACGCAAACAAAACTGATGAACGGATCAACGAGTTGATAGATTGGCAGCCACGGACGGTCAGAGGGCGACACCTGACATTCTAAGGCATTCGTCAAATTTTCAACTTTCACTCGCACCGTCTTCGTCATCGGTTCGATTCATCGTTTGACGCTGACGTTGTTTCGGCACATCGACAGCCGCTGCTAGTTAGACCCGTGTAGGCATTTACTGCGTACCTATACTGAATCTGCCGCTGCCCCTGACTTTGCGTCCAGCATCTGTCGACGTACACGACCACTTCTATGCTGTAGTAGTAGTATACATAAATCGTAACATATGTGCAAGTACGAAGCAGAGGAATAGGCGGCAAAGCTAACGTGCCGCATTAGCGAACGCAAGAAGCGTGCATTAAAAAAAAAAAGTAGAAAAATCAAAAAGGAAGAAAAAGGAAAAAGAGCGAAAAACTTAAGGAAACAATGTGACAGAACGCGGTAGAGGGCGTACGTCGTGGTCGCTGTTGCGATAATGGTGGTCATCGATGACGTTGTTCGCTTGCGCGAGCTACAGCCGCAACAAAAAGAAATGAAAAAGGCGACGCAACAAGAGGTGGTATGAAGACACCGGTCAGGTACTGCGTACAACAGGGATGATACCAACTGAGAAGCAGCAGATAAAAGCCCTAACGAAGAAAAAAGGCAGGTTTAACACAACGAAAAAAACATCGGCGAATCGGAGAACGATAACGAAGATGAAGCAGAACAAGAAGACCGAATAAAACGAAAGCTATGCTCCTGTCCGTCTAACATCACTCGTGCCACTGCCAACAACATCGTCATCATCATCATCATCAATAATGGCAATCATTGCCTCCACCCCGTTGACCTCTGCCGAATGGAGGTCATCATCTGGCGGCAGCGAGGGAGCGGGAAGGGGGCGCATGAGAAGGCAACAGGGCGGGTTTTCAATAATCGCAGAAACTGACTTCTAGCATCGTGCATTGACTCGATCTCGTACCTACCTAGCATAACAATCTTAGCAAAGCTAGCGTAGTAGGCGATCGAACCCATCCCTTAGCTCCGTCCGATCAGCAGAGAAGTTAGCCTATACTAACAATTACCGTATATGAATGTTTTGATATAGATTGTGTATTTAGTACAAGAATGTATGCATATTTGGTATTTCATCTGAAACTACCGTTCGCAATCGCAGTCTATACAGACGCCTTTGTTGATGGGCCGTATATACTACTGAGTAGTGATGAGCAAGCGGGTGAACGCAGGGCAGGAATGTAGGCAACCGCATTTGCAGCAGCAGCAGCAGCAGCAGCAGTATCTGCGAAAGAGATTCGCACTACCGCACGGTGTCTCGCGTCTGATTGTGGTGGACTAATACGCCCCATGCTTACAACGAAGAAACGCTTGATTGACACCCGTTTGAGATACTAGTTGTTGCCATTAGCGATTGTATAATGGGCAAATCAATGATGGGAGAGGACGCACGAGGTGAGAAATAGAAATGGCTCAAAATGGCATGCGCGGCACGTCAAGCTGCTGCCTGGTAATGTCTCTCATTCAATATGGTCAGCGATGCTGTCAGCAAGCACAGATCATCATCATTAGAATAAAGAGCAACGTGGCCACCGTCAGCTACAGTGGTCACAACAATAATAACCAAACTAATGCCATCTCCAGGTTCTAGTGATATTTGTCCAAAGAGAGCAAAAAGCAAGCGCAAACAATTCAAAGAAAAGGGTAATGAAGTAACAAAGGGCGCTTGAAAGGTTGGAACGGGGGTTAGACGAAAAAGAACCGTATGAGAGAAAATGTACAAACCAGCGCTGGATTTGAGCATTATCAAGTAGAGAATGGCATTTCAATACAGATAAAAGCGGAGGATACAAGAGGCTCGTAAAATCAACTAAAAGAAAACGATGACAACGAAAATAGCTGAAATCCAAAAGCAAAATCACTATTCAATGACGAAAAAATAAAAAGTAGGAGTCAATCTGGTTAAATTTTTCTCCACCTGTCGAATTCGCTACCACTATTCACTAGGAACAAAGGCAGAATTCTACTTCCTGCCTACTTATTTGTGCCAATCCTCAGAGAAAGAAGACGCCACCGTCACCATCGTCTTTTCTCGGCTGTACACAGCCATCCAGATCTTACGTAGCGTCATATATTTTTAGCGTGCGTCCATATGATTTCGACGGCACGCGGTTGTTTGTTATGCATAGCTTGCCGTTTGCCTCCGGATTTTTAGCCCCGTGTCACCTGACTTTGATCAGTTAGTGTCCTGGCCACCGTACTGATTAAGGCATCGTACCCGATGTATGGGATGCATTTGATCAATTGCTTGAACGTCGAGGCAACTGGGTCCTCACAGGTCAGTGCATGCAAGCAGATTTCGAATGTCGACATCGAGCGGGTCACACCCAACGCCACGGAATCAAGTGAACGCTGAATATGGCTAATGTTATCTCTATTTCTGTCTGTGTGGCTGTGACCATTTACCGTACAAAGGTGGCCCTATGGACGGGACGAATGGCACACGCAGCGGCAATAGTGATTCAACCTGTTTGACCTATCGATGGTTCCGTTCGCTACCGTTTACGATGCCGGTCGATTTGGCAAACGTATTGACAGACAAGGTCCAAAAGCAAATGCTAAGTTGTCATCACGACTATCAGAGTAGGAAAAAGAGACGTAAAAATTTACCAACCGTGACAGCTGGTTATTGCCTGACGAGTACGAGATGTTACTGCAGATGTAAAAAATGACACATGGTTGAGCGTGCATTTAATATCAGTTAGCGCGAAGAAAATGCCGGCGTGTGTTACTACGACAATGGTAAGCGAGATCTACTTCACGCATAACTTAATCTACAAATATTGCCGAGATGACCGTAGCCATTGATTTTATGTGAGTTAGCATCCATACATTATAAACAACATCCTCTAATAGCTGAATTGGATTGAAGCATGACAAGAGTAATTTAACAATTTGCACTATTGTTTACTTTTGTTTTTTCTCTACCTAATGCACAACAGGCCAATGCAAACAATAGCTATAACCTTAATAGAAATATCAACAATCCGTGACTGATGATGGTTCTACAAAAGTATAATACAACACTAAGAATTAACGAGGTATCACTTTGATAATACTCATAACCGGTACAAATCGATTCCTTAGCTCTTAGTTGTTTTTTTTCTAACTAGCAAATGTTTACTGATTAACAGTATACCATTGTGAACGTCATTGAACTGAGGGCTACCGTTACTAGTTTCCTATACCGGCCTATCCTATATTATTAGGATTCGTATTCTAGGCACTTTTTGAAACTATTATTAGTCTTGGCTTTTATAGCACCTCGTACAAGGTAGGACACAGGAGTCTCGAAAGGGTGCTTTAATAACCTATCGTATGGCCAGTTTGTAATGACAACGGTGGAAAAGCATGAGTCCATTGAAGTAAACTTACCTGACGATATCCATTTTGAAATTTACTGATGAACTTGTTCTATGTAGCTAAGGGAAGAGGTTCTGGAGTTCTTACTTAATTACTGTCAGTGTGTATATTGATGTTCTAAACGCCACACAGGATCTGCAATCAGCCAAAACGCTCATGTCAAGACCGCCGAAATCTTCCACCGCAAACAGAAGGGATGCAGATCTATTTGAGAGCTTTTACAGCCGAACAGATTTCCTGCATAGATGCTTCCAATGATCGTGAGTACTTTACTTTTGACGTACAACGATCTTCACAACTCTATACATTGATTGTTCGTTATTGATTTTTCGCCAATCAACTAGATATGCGCAAAAAATTCCGTAATATTTTTTATGATATGGCCTCTATGTCCGTTCCATCTATTGGCATTCGGACCTTATTTCGGCCTTTTTTTTTTTTGCTGTTCGCGAATATCGTTGATACGTGCGAGCGGTGAAGAGGACTGTGAAAAGCAAAGTGTAGTATATAGAATTTTTGTATAAATTGACTATTGCAATATTGTACGAGGTATTAAGTCGCATTTTTCCCACTGATTCACACCTGCATATCGATCTAATCAGGGGTGTTAGTCGATTTGTGCTTCAGACTGTGAACAATGAAAGCGATTCGAAAAACCCAGGCCTTTCCTCTTATAGTCGTCAGCCGACATAACGAAATCAGAAGGAAGAACCCACACAATGAAACGTAAGGAAGATAAATACATGCATGACCTGGTTGAGAGGGTGGAAAACGCACTGCATTACCTTCTCCTCTTCGACAATATTGAAGAACTTCACATAACTTCAGCAGACGAAGACAAATCAAGTTGACCTCAAGGGTCAGCCGCGCACCAACCGGCTTTTTAAGCTTCTCTAGCTGTATGAAAAGAGCATCTGGCTAAAGGCTTTCCCTTCCTTTTGTCTTTCAAGTGCCAACTGAATCTAAAATGAATGCTCTGATCATACTTTAGCCACTCTTCTCAAACGAACATTCTCTAAGCAACTGATGCTACGATAAATATTTACATGCATTCTTGCCTTCGTGCCACCTGTAATTCTCGTATTAACATTATCGAACAACTTGTTCTTGTTCTACTATATATAACAACTTGAAAATGAGCATTCATCGATGGTTAGGAGTTTGACCTTTATATGCGTATGCAGTCCAAAAAATTTCCTAAACCTAGAACGTAAGCGTAGCGCTGTCCCGAAGGAAAGAAGAGTTACAACATTACAATTACTCTTCTTTCCTCCCTAAACCTGTAAATAAAGTCGACTGAATAGCAGCGTATATTGAGGCTTATGGTAGACTCTCCGGTTGGGCTAAAAGAGTTCGGGTCACCGACGCTACGAGGGAGAGGGCGCTGTGGTTAAATTTATTGCAAAATTCATTGGAGTGCTGATGAAGTTTGCATCGTCTCACCACACTCATGCGTACCGCTACGCGTCTGTTGGCTATAGCACGATCGAATCGGACTTTCGTAGTCAAATCCAAGCGGAGTAACAGCTTTCCGCACACAGCGACGCCGTCAACGATTCCTTTAGCCAACTAACACAAAACAAAAAAAAACTTTCCAAATCGTCGACCACCGTTCGCGCTATATCGCTATAGTACCGGCAGCGGCGATAGCAGCGCTCAAAACATCGTAACTTAAAGTGAATTATTCGATAGAAATATGATATGGTATCGCTACTATTGTTGACGCTGTTTTCGTTATTATTTCTCGTGTCCTAGTCGTCTGCCGCTAGTGGTGTTCACTTTTTTTCGTTTAACCGCCACTATCGCCGTCACCTCTCACATCTCGGCCGATCTTCGTTCTCACCAGGTGATCAAGAAACTGCCGTTTGCTGACGCCGATCATCATGATGAGGGCGCGTGAAGTCTAGCTTCTAAACAAGTTGCCGCCGCTACCGCTTCTGCCATATCGAAGCAAAGAGGAAAAAATGCCGAGAAGACAACGGGTTCTGGAGAGGGCGGGGAAGTTTGCTGTTCATCTTTTATTACAAATGCGACCAACTACATAACACTCAAGAACGACTATCGACGACAACATCAGCGCCAAGTGCGTCAACAGCGGTAAGCTAACGTTATACTAGAATGGCCACGACTCGGCAGTCCGAGCGGCAGTTGCCGACAGCGGCCGAACATAGAAAAAAAACAGAGCTTGACCTAACAGAGTGGTGTTTCGCCAATTGTGATCTCTGTACGCAGTCGCAAACGTACGTATGCATGGCTGTTGGTGATGTGCGGTCTGGCCAGCAGGCAAAAGGCACCAACTACTATGAACTAGAATGGAACAAGCAGTTTCGTGCTCGCTTTCTTGGGGCATTCTTCGTTTCCTTCGACTCTCTGGGATTCTTCCCCTCTATTCTTTTGCTGGTGCCTCGGCAACGTTGAGAGCAGTAGCGTCGGCGGCCATATCGGCGATCAGCCGGGATCGATTCGGGCGTGAAAATTGATTTGGATTCTTTTTTGTCGCTGTTGTGAAAGGATTGTAAAGGAAAAATCGCATAAAAGAAAGCCGATCGCCTGGCTGGTTGACTTAGTGATTTGCTCAGGTTCAAAGGCTTGAAAATGCCACTTGGATCACTATCGCAGTATAACCTCTAATGGAATGCACGTTATCACCTAGCATAAAAACGGGAGAGGCGCTAAATAAATTTGCCGCGTACATTTTTTTTTTTGTTCTTTTTTTACTACGCGATTCGTGTGTATATCATATCGTTCCTCTGATAGGAAAAAAAGAGTGAAAAAACACATACACCGTATATCCACAGTTATGGACCCCGAAAAGCATTAGAAAATTTAAAATTATAATCGAAAAGTGTGTGTTGAATCGCCGGTTAATTATTGCGTTAAGGTTTACTGACATGATACGTTTATCCATATTACGATAAGCCTAAAAATGTGTTAAACCTTTGCTTAGGTTTTTCCTGTAACTCATTACTACGCATGCAAGCCAGATGCTTTTGCCACTTTTTCTTATTTTTTCAATTCGACAAAGTTCTAAACGGTAGCTAAGCAGGGGGGTTTAACGTTTCTCAGTATACATTTAGATCTGCGAGTGAGGTACGTGGGGAGATGAAGAAAGGCTCTTTGCATATACCGAGTATACCTAAGCAGCTTAGGTGCCTAGCGGGTAGCATACTGCTTTCCTTTTCAAGTATTCAACGGATCCTTTGGTATTTGCGAAACAGTCGTTTGTGATCTCGGATTGTCATAGGATCAACTTGTTCGCGGCGCTCGTCGTGACTATGTCGATTGATTCAAATTTTACTATTTTGTTTCTAGCTCCAAATTCGGCTCAGACGTTTAACGTTGTCTGAGACACCGAAAATGGGCCTATATTGAAACCTTTAAACGATTCGTCACCATTCTACTCCATACTATTGAAAAGTGTCCTGTCTCCTCTAGGCATCCGTTGTGACCTCACAATACAGTCAACGAAATTTCTTCTCCAGTTCATTTTCTTAGGTGAGTTCGTAGGTTTGCTTAAATGTATCGAGTTAAGCTTCCTAATATGGACGCCCCTGGCGCAAAGAGAAAAGTGAATTTTCAACATCTACCTTATTTCATTTTCATGCCGGGGTCAAAAACAGCCCGGAATCTTTGTGCCATGTATGATGTGGATTTTGTTCCTAAAACGGGTGGTTCGCGAAGTTCAACAATTTGACATTTTGCAGCTGAAACAATGTGCTTTGCTCAGGGCTGGTGAAGGTTACCTAATAGAAGACGGTAAAGAACTAGCGAAATGACCAACAAGATAAACTGTGATTATGGTCAGACATGTTGAATCTATGGGTAGCAACCGTAGTGAGCCATAAACTGGATCAAAAGCGCAAAGAAACATTATTCATTATTGGCTGTGAGCATCTTGCCCAGCATTGGATAGCACAAAACTTCAATAAGGTCCTAATCAGAACTGCTATTGGTGATTAAAAGTGGCGTCTCTGCTTTAATACGAGGTAAATAATACGGCTAATCTCTAGGGATACGACTAAGCCCAGATACTCATTTATGCTTTACGTCTGGTGGGATTGAGATGGGCTCACTTACTGGGGTATCTTGCGAAAAACGAGCCAGTTTACAAAAACCTGTACGTAGTCTAGTTAGAGGCTACCCAACAAAAAGGACAGGGTGAACAAGGGAAAGTTCTTTTTCTCGACGACAACACCAGAGCTTACATGGCAAAGTTCTTCCACATCCAACATATTGACCGGACCTCGTGTAGATGGATAATCTCTTTTGCGGGCCATTGGTGATTATAGATTTGACAAGGGAACTCATCTTAAAAACTGGCTGCACAAGGCCTTCAATAGCGGATCAGAAGGTTTCTTTCAAATTAAATCGACCGAGGAATAGGAAAAGGCCGTACAAAACCTCGGCGAATACCTAAGTACGTCGATTTGTTTGGAAGAAAACCTATGTAGTATTTTAATGAGTCGCTTATAGCGTCGAATCAGATTATCATTAGGCTGCTAGTGAGATCATCTATGGAAGTCTTATTGGTTTAGTTATTCAAACGGCTATAGTGTATTAGGTTTTTATTTAAGCCAGCAAGTAAATCACAACTGACCGCGCTCCCTTGTACACGTACTCGTATTATAGTAGGCTCGTAAACTCACCGCACTCATACCGATTTTGTCATAACCCCTTCTATAAGTATAGTGAGTGGTTTGCGATCGGCATGTCCGTGCGGTTATCGACCAACGACGTACCGACCAAAGCTGCACAGATGCACGTTCACCTGTATAAGATATGAACGTCATATGTATGCCTATCGGTTATGGCAATGGCCATCGCGACAAGGCACGCGGCTGATTTCTTTTTTATGCTGCTGCCTGCGTCATCGTAGCCGCTTCTATTGATCATGAATGAGTACGAAATGCAGTGGTGAGTCCCAGCTGATGTTGATCATAATGACGATGGAGATTTGGTCACCGCGATTTTCAGCAACACCAGCAGTACCGTCATTGACTATTACCAGCACTCAGGCGACTTGGCGATGAAGTGAACAGCCGCTAACGGCTTTGCAGTGGACACAACTATCGTTTACCACTATAACAACAACAATGTACGACAGCACAGTTTTCTCTTAAACGCACACGCGCGCCGGCAACCTCTGACCCCCCATCGAAGGGGGGCGGATTCGGGTTTAAGTCGATAAGCAAAAGCAAAAAAAAAAAAGAAAAAATACAGGAAGGTGTGTAATTTTTGTGTAATCGAACGAAGCACGTCTCACGAGCGTGCGAACACGGAGCAACGCGAATCGGGGTCCGCGATGATCCGATCACCATAGTACGACATCATACTACTGATATAATGCATACCGATGTAGTATTCTGTGAAAAAACGGGCAGCAGCGAAAACTCCTATGAATGAATGATTCGTGTAAGTGAGCGTTCTTGGGTGAATGACGAAGCCCGTTGTTATTGGATTGGCCTGCGATACGATGTTGCCTTAAGGTGGTAATGGTTCCGATCTGCTGCTGCCGCCGCCGTGCCGTTGTTGTTGCCATCGTATGCCGTCAATGACTGAATGAATGGATAATAAAGTTGTATTGGTAACGATAATCATCATCTTTGCTAGTGATTACCATGACGTTGTTACTGATGACGACGACGACGACGACGGTGTTTCTGTTGTTGTGACTGATCGCTATTCATGTTTAAGTGTCAGTTGGAAGTTGCTATACTGATACTCAGCGGCGATAGTAGAGGCAGAGTCGCTATTGGCTAAGAGGGTAATACTCTAATATCAACAACGGCAAGGAGCAGTAGCGGGTGCGATGAGGTGGGCGGCGATCGCGAACAACCGATATACGTTAGGCATTAAGAAGGATAAAAGGAGTACAGGCAGCGGTCTGTGGGTCTAAAGCAAGCAAGAATACAAAATGCTATTCTTATCGTTATTGTCGATTTTCGTTCGGTAATGTCGAGCGGTCATGTCGCCATGCGCGATGGCTAACAGATCAGATCGGGTTATATGTGGAGGATACGCAAAGCTTCACAGTAAATCGACCAATGGCCGACGTACGTAGGGTCTCGTCAGTTGATCTCTGAAATGAAAGAATTACAGTGACTTTCGTATCACGAGCATCGGTATTACCAGCTTCACTATATGCGTACCGGCGCCATATTGCTTTTTTAAATAACAACGAACTATCATAATCAGAGATGGCGCATGTAGACGCAATACTAGCGGTCTTTTAGTTCATATTAGATACAAATTGAAAGCAAGAAGGAGACAAGGATCAAATACGTATACTCTCCAATAGAGCTATTTTTACCTAACGGGCATGCACATAGAAGTTTACACAAATATGTACATACATGGACAAACAAAGGTAAAAATATGTTTCGAAAACGCTATTCCATCTGCCAGCCTCTAGAAGCCCTATAACCGTACCTTCGTAGGTTCGTGTGAGCCGTCGGACGTATAATGCTCACTGCAGTTGATGCTGTCGCAACGTTATTCAAGAACGTCGACCACCCTGAGAGTCGTCGCCTCAGTAGACATTTTCGGCCAATCCGGTGCCAAACCCTGCTGGACGTAACTGACCATCAGCAGGCAACGAAACCCCACAAAGCGAGGCAATACGACGAAAGAGCGATTTGTTATTACCCGAATATACAAAGGGTATATCTGATACATAACATTATTATTTATTGTTGCGTATAATTCCAATTAAATAAGAGGCTACATATTGTAGAACACTGAAAAATGGAACCACATTATGATCTTTTTCAGTTGGTTTAAAGGTAATAAATTCGCTCGTTTCCATTATTAATTTTTATCTTGAAAAATATTCTAACATTTAAAGCGAACGAAATATGTATGTTTGTATCGGTTGCATTAAAAATAAGTCGTAGGATTTGCTCAATATTGTCTTCATAGTTAGCCTTCGTACAGCATATTTGAAATGCCTGGGAAAAGGCACTTTCCATTTCGAAATTACTGGAGGCTTACGATGACCCCTGCTATATGTGGGGCACTTCCTACGACGGCGCGCAATACTGAAACTTCGTCTTATCAATCACTCTAAGGCTAGTGCACTGCTACGATGGATGTTGCCTCATGATAACACTGCAGGACGGTTGTATTAAATTATAGTACAGAAAACTGTTTTCATACACGTTTTCATAGCGCAATGAATTGATAACTGAGGCACCTTGCTGTCAGGAGAACGGATCGCGCAGCCTAGATCCAACTTTCGCAAACAGTTAATCCGTTGTGCTGTACTCCTGCTAACTTAAAGACAAAGCTACTAGGGATAATTAAATGCGAAAAAAAGGAGGCCAATGATGTTGCTAATAACAACGAGTAGTATCATGCCACAGACTAGCTTAAGAATTAAGAGTTCTACCAAATCATATGAAAGTCAAGCAGTTTTTCCACAGCCTCATCTTCGCCTATGTACCTAATGACGTTACATTTCTTTCCCGACCCCTCGTCTGGCTTATTGCAGAAGCAGAGTATTCGATTGTAGTAAAAATTATTTCGTTGTAGGCACTATTTTTTCTAATTTTCGATTGCGACAACTACCGCGAAAACGCCAGTCAAATCTATGTAGAACGTTCCGTCATTGACCTTTTTGTAGTCGTCCAAAGCTCCTGAGCAGATCTTTTGAGTGAAGCAAACCTTATTTCAGCTTGTTTTCGATTTCCATTGCCAGCGATGTGCGCGATGGCCATGGCCAAGTGCTTTATCCTGATGTCTTCTAATAAAGGGGGTGTATTCTGCCATGGCTGACTATGATCGTCAATGGGTTGTTCAAACTGATTTGGCTAGCAAGGCTGTGTTGCCAGAAAACATAGAATATCCAGATCGTTCAATAACTAAGACGAATTTTGGTTTCTCTGCTCAACTTTTCTATTTTAAGTGTTTTTTTGATTGCAGCTTACCTTGTGTCCATAGCATGCGTAACAATGTCTGACTAGTCAAGAGAAATTAAAAACTTAGAAGTACGCGTTTGTTTTCTGCACACTCCCTATCGTATGCCGACCTCGGACTAAGCATACTGCGAGTGCATGCTCACCACCGATGATATTTAACTCATAGTGACTCTTTAAAAATAGTTTTTTCTTCTTTTTTTTTTTTTTGATAATTAGCAAATATTCAGTGAAGGCGATTATCTGAGAAGTTAACTTGAGTCAACCATACGTAAAGAATACACTTATGCGATTGCTGGGGTCTTCGACGACGAGGGCCGCTTTCAGTCAGGTGGCGTCAAACTAAATATAAAAGTAACTATCGAAAACTACATGGACCCCTATCGAGGTAATATGTAATAGATAATAGTCGATTTTTCGAGTTAGTGGTAATTTGTACATTTTTTGTTAATCTTTAATAATTAGAATTAGCATGATTTCAGTTTAGTTAGCTAGTTTTCTAACTTTGTCCGCTAATGAAGCTGGTGTCCGTATTCTAAGCAAACCGAAATGTCCTATGTTTGCGTCCCGAAACGAAGACGAACAAGAATAAACTCGTCCTCTTAACTTCATGTCTGGTCTATATTGTCTCAGAACAAGTTAGACATCGACTGAACTTTTCGGTGTATTTGTAAAAGCATCATAGTCAGTGTCGCAATTTCGTCTCACGACATATTAACTTACCTACGACGACAGCTAAACAAGGCGAATTTATCGTTTGCCCTTTATAACAATAAAGTAAAAAATGTATGTTCAATTATGCTAAGTTGGGGTAGGTGTCGCTGAATGTTGTGGATCAGTAGCTGGGTCAGATACTGAAGGCGCTTGGACCAAACGAAAAGACTGAGGGTTGACGCTGGCCAAGATAATAATCAGTATTTAACAATTTGTTATTGATTTCAATAAAAATGCAATTATCCCGTACTGGCCCAATAGTGGTATGATCATCCAAGGGATGCTGTCCAAAAATTCAATCGTCGGCCATAGATAAATTATAAAAAATGTGAATTTCTATATTTGTCCCGTTGAATCCTCCTTGGCTACCTTTTGCTGTAATCTCTGCGTCCGGCCATTTGGTGCATCGGTCGTTTTCCTACTTCTTTTTTTTTCTGCTATTGATATATCAAGCCGTTTATTAATGAGCAACACGCTTTGTCCATTTTGTCTAATCGGTAAGAATCACGAATTTCCATTCAAAATTAACACCATCATCATTAACAACAGCTACTTTCTTTGTTACCCTTCTATCGCCTATTGATATTCATTCGGGGTTCGAGGTTCATTGTCCGTTACCAATCAGCGAATGATTCAAGTGGTGATTATTTTTTGTAGACCTGTTGATTTCCCTCCTAAACTTCACCCCGCTGGCGTTGATTGCTCGTTGGTAATGCCTTCGACCCAACTGGTCCTCGTCAGTTGATCGACTCTGTTCAAAATGACGCTGTTGCCAATAATCATTATATATGATACAGATTTGAAATTTGTAAAACGACCGACAACCGCTCAATAACAAAGTTAGTCAGCCGCACGTTCTAAATGGGGTGTTACAAATCAGTGGACAATTAAACATACGGCGGCGTAAAAATTCAATAATGAGTGAAAGTGAGCATTTCAGCTTGCCAATGGAAAATCATATTATGCCGTTGTGATGAGTTAATATTCCTAAAGGCCCGTGTCCATGTGCGAGATCCTATAGGCACTGTTGTAATGGGGTCCGTACCGAACGGCACGGGAACAACGAGTTGATCTACGAGGGCTTCGTGAGGTGCTGACAACTTCATAAAAGCTAGCTAGCTAAAGGCGCTCCTGCTGTTAACACTGTTGTTTATTGCTCTGTCGGACAGGAAGAGTAGCGAGTTTGAATTAAAACTAAGTTTCGATGAATTCTGGCAGACCTAACGCTGCCAGCTTGCTAAGGTAACAGCAATTAAAAAAGGCCGCCGTTCGAGGCCGTCAGACAGTCGAAAAATAGAAAATAGCAGTAATTATTAAAGGTCTGTACAGTAGAAACAACGCTGTGCCGTTTTCGTTACGGCGATAGTCCGATAGATGCGTTCGTTTGTGCAGAGTGCCTTCCTTAACTTAAGCCGGGTGAAGGGGCAACTATGACGTGCTATGATGACAGGCACATGTCATCTAATGTTAGTAAAGACTTCCTTTTTTTTTAACTTGCCATTATGTACTTCTTGTTCACATCTTTAGTATATAGAAGCTTCTGTAGAAAAAAAAAGTAGATAATAATTTATACTGATACCTACTATATCAATAGTACATGACTTGTCTACCTAGATAGTAATGAAAGTATGGTAAATATCTTTTAAATATAAAAAGAACATATGCTAAAGCGTTTTAAAAAAACTACGATTTCCGCGTCTAATTGCTACATAACAATAATAATGTAAATAAGAATAATCGATAAATATCAAACTAATGTTTAAGGTGATCTGCCAGTTGCACTATCTCAAAACATTTTTTTTCTTTTTTGTAACAATTATCGTTATTTTTTCTTCTGTAAGGACTGAATCTTATATTTTTTTTTATCATAAATTACTAACTAATGTGATGTTTATTATAGGTGATATATTATTTCGTCGCATGATAATATGAAGATCTCATCTGCAGCAGACAAATATAAGGTCCTGTACAATTAAGCCCCACAATCAGACATGCTTTCTGTTCTCTGAGACACGTATCTGTTGTATAATAGCGGCGTGCACAGTTTTATTCTGAATTTCAGTATTGTCTAGCTAACCTAAGATAGGTTAGCATTTTGTTCCAGATTAGATAATGAGACTGTTTTGCTGAAAGGAGTTGTTAATGAAAAAGGGTTCCGGGGGGAAAAATTAAACCCCAGTTCGGCGATGATGAATGGAGCTACCTGCACGCACAACTCTTAAGAACGAAACACTTTGCGCATATGCCCAGCTACAATGTAGGAATGTACAATTGGAGGAAAGTTCGTTGAATAATAGGAATGAAGAGCTCTGGACAGAATGCGTCGGTCACAATTGTCACTCTACGAGTTGATATAAAAAAAAAAAGTAGCCGACGCAGATATGCACGAGTGGCAAAACACCAATGAGCGAAGGAAGACTTAAGGTCTTTAGAATTATACTTCTTACCGTTTAATTGTTTTGCAGTGTACTTAAATTTGAAAAAATCCTTTACATTGACAACGATTTCCCCCAGAATTAGTTTTACGTACCACTAATACTAACTGTTTGTAAACCCCACGATCGTAGATGGCATCGTTCGAAACAAACCAACAACAATAACAATACGACCGCCGGAACAACTGAGGTGAACCGTACGCAGTTACGCCAGTCTCTCAACCTCTGAGGGGACAAAAAAAGGTCACAATCTTACATCAAAGGCGCCATATTTGAACGAATCTCGCCTCGTACGTGCGCAATATGACTGAAGACTGCGGGGTTTCAGCCTGCACTGTGGAAAATGCAACAGGGTGTTCTATAAAGTTAGTTGACGAGACCGACCCTTAAGCTAAGCCAGCAAAACAATGGCAATGTAGACCATATGGCTTGCCTGTTGCAATGGGCTGGCACTGTACTGGACGGCCTTGTTTAACGAACGTTTATTCCGGACTGTTTCGTCCTCATATGCGGGATTTCGTTATCCCAAAAAGCAAAGGCGACACAAGCCAACCGACGCCGAGGCGAGGAGTCACGAAAACGTGTTTGCTATGCACTGCCTTTCTATCCGCTGGCAAAAAGATTGGACGCGTTCCTAGAGAGTATGAGTGCAACATTCAAGAAACAACACGATCATAGGAAAAAGACGTGCAAGGTCCCCCCTTGCCGATATCAACTTCGGCCAGACTTTATGGACTTGAAAGCTGCTTTCGACTCTCTCTCAAGGAATATAGCCTAAAGTATCCTTGCCGACGTACGAGCTTCTGCAAAAGTACTTAGTAGCAGCGATACTGCAAAAGAACAGCGCTATCTATAATCGATGCTGGTGTTTTGAAATCCAGACTACAGGTTTAGCCCGGGGTGATCACTGAAGCCCTCTCCTTTTTTCGGTTTTGCTTATCCCGGGCAAGATGCGGGGGTTTACAAATATGGTGAGGATTTGCCTCTGTGCAGGATTTTTACAGGAACAGTCGCTTCTATCTGCAGCACGCTACAGCCAGACCAGATTCCGTTGTCTCGGAATTGAGTCTAACCATCAGTCTAATCAAAGCCGAGGCAACTGAAATCAGGAGAAATATCAGAGTCGCGCTTTGTGACACGCTATACCTCTCGAGTCAGCCACCGACATATATAAGATGTATATTCGCCCCGCTGAAGCTGCTGATCTTTCTTCCTACCAAACCAAACCAGACCAAACTTTCTTCCTTCTTCAAAGACATACGAAAAAATGTAGAAAGTCTTGATAACGTAGTCCTCAATATTTATACCTACCGATTGCACCTCTTAAACACTTTACGACATTTCCACCTCAAGGTTTCACCAGTTGCCACTTGCGGGGTGGGCTTAATTTAGAAACACTTAATAATATTAGAGGACTTTTCCTCAAAAGAATCTTGGAACTGCACAGGACAACCCGTAACAGGCATGTTTACCTAGCGGCGGCTGCAGCGACGTCACCGTTTACCAACCACCTACTTCGCAGTTTTAATCTACCCGCAACACGGACGCTTCAAAAAAGCAAGTGAGAGAAGCTGTAAAATGGAACCGAAAGGGGCGGAGGTTGACCCCGAATGGGGGCCATCACAGATACGACGTGGAAAGGATTTGACCGGCCTATCAAGCATGTGGTAACAGGCAATGCAGTACACAATTTCTACCATCACCTATTGAAAATACAGGAGTTCTGTTATGCGTTTGTATTAAATCTAGGCAACCATTTGGTTTGTATCATACTTTCGACTATTCACAAACTCAATCGCAAAACAGTCTGACGCAGTAATTAACCGAGGAATGGCACTTGTATAACGCACTTATTGGTGGGCCCTAAACAACTTACCCCGTAGACGTTGAATCAACCAGTTTAGAAACGTTATCTTTAGCCAAGCTTGTGAAGCAATCATATATATGGTATCGGATAGGGTATAAAGCTTAGTACGCCAAGTTGCCATAAATATATATATTTCGAATTTTATCTGGCAAATTTAAATAAATGGATTTATCGGATTGATTATTTACAAGTTTACAAACTATTCCATATATTCTTTTAAAATCTCGTTTTTGCTATACGAACATCTCCTCTTTCGTTGAGACATGTAAAATGCGTCGCTACTGGTTCCGTGCGCTGTTTTTCCACAGCTTTTACGTAACCCTTTAATTGAATCCATCCCCCTTTTGCTTATCATTTATAGCCACTGATACATAATTAAAGTGCAACTTCTATAAACGTTGTGTTTGTAAATAATCTCAACTAACTTATCAGCTTTAACGTTCAACAGGCTACGACCAAGAACTGCTGCCAACTTCGAAACCTCATATTAAAGGCGAGACAAGCATCATTACGTCCGCAAATCTGCTATAATTTATTATTAATTAATTAAGATTAATGGCTTCATTTAAGTGTTCCAGCTGTAGCGGTTCGCTATTGTAATGTATTGGCTGGAGTAGTGACAGTACGGTGATACGCACTTGTGTGTATATACGTGTTAATATTCCTATATATTGTACGTATGTGGTGCAATAAATGAAGGTACCCGCACGCACATTAGCCAGGGAAGGATTGTTTGTTAGCAGACGGGGACGTGAGTCAATATTCGAAGTCCATTATGAAGATGCCATTCTAACGAAAGAGCTTAGCGATGAAAGCCAATAAAAAACGATTTAAAGCCGTTCTCTTGAAAAGATAGCCGTATGACGACTGCGGCCGGTGTATCTCGTCGGCTATGGATGAAGTTACGTTCTGAGTGCGTCTGTTCGCGCGGACTTCCTTCACTAGTCACCTATAGCTGCTCGCTGATGATGATTAATGTGCAAACAAATCAAAATAGAAAAAGCTATTTTTTTGTACTTCAGGCGAAAAAAAGCCCGTTGTCACACAACTTGGGAAAGGCGCTTTTTCCCGAGTCATCTAATTTAGATGTGAAACTGCTTGTGCGATTAGGGTCTTCTCATGTCGAGGTTGCGCTGTCACTAAGTTGTTCGTATCACGCGTTCCTGTGCCAAATTGTGTTTACATTCATTTAATATAAAGTAAAGGGAAACATTTTATACGGCCGGTGACTCTAACAGGTTCATATATTAGATAAATATTTTTTTTAACAGCCTAAAATGAGTTCTAACTCTCTTGTCCTATATAGAGATACCACTGTTTTTCAAATGTACAGTTATCATACCCCAGGCCTTCCTGATACCAAACCGTAGCCGGCCTCTAATATATGAGTTTACGAATCTTATCCGAGAAGAGCACCCTAATGGAATTATTGATTGATATCAAAGATTTCTGTTTCAATCGTACGTGCGACAAGGTTACGTATCCCTAGCAATGTTTAACCCTGCCGGTGAGAGGCTCTTGCAAAGCTGTTTCCTGCCTGTAATTGATTTGACGTCGGAAAGCTTTAAAGCCTCAATGTACCTATCATTCAGCCTTAACGATATACTTGTACTGTAATATGATTATGGAATAAATTCGTGTTGTATAAAAACAACTGTCCGATTCGTTCAACCTATTTAAGGCTAAGCTGCCAGCTGAAAGAAGGTCAAAACACGACTTAAGGTTATACCATCTTTAATGCTAATGATGGTGGTCCATGCTGATAGGATGGCCGCTCTTTTACGTGTCCGGTTCGTGTTTTAATAGTCGCAGGTGACTGCCAAAGCTGAATCACCGATTTCGTTGATTGAGATGGCTGAATCGTTCGTTAGACCCGTTCATCCGTGACGACCGCTCTACTCTTGTATTATAAATTGATGATATTTGTTTGAAAACAATAATTATTGCATCTCATCGTAGATATGATCCATAAAATTGACTATCCAACAATCACTCCTAAGCGAATACAAGCTACGATACTGTTGAAGCGTTTTTTTTTTTATAAATAAAATAAAAAAATAAACTAATTTTGATACGGCTAATAATAATAATGATACGCGACAGGATCGATTAGATGCTAAGGTAAAAGAAGGTAAGAGATACTGCACAGATTTGATTGATTATGGTACTTCAGGATGAATGAAGCAAACAAATAAAGGGAAAGCTAGGTTGCTAGGCGAGGTTAGGTCACACGCTGCTAATGAAGCCTTGGCCTCTGACTGTGGCCTTGGCCTCTGACTGTGAATCAGTTCGTTACTGGAACATTGAACATTGAGCATTTTCTTTTCGAATATCCAGTGCAATAGACTTACGTAACGTAAAGCAAAAGCGATCTTAAATTCTTCGTATTTATTTATAAGTAGTTTAATAATTTATCTGTTTATCGTGGTTTTGCTTAATTACATCGTTTTAGGTTTTCTTTAGACAAAGGAAGCAATTGGAGGGAGGCCAATTTCGGCATCACCGTTTACTCTATTTATCAATCGGCGATATCCGTTCTCAGGATATGTTTACAAACGAGAAAAAAAATCTATGTTAATACTGTGAAGACGCTGTACCGTGAGATGGCAAACTAATCTACCAGATTGTTGTTGCCATTGTTTTCTTTCCGCACAGTAGCTTTACATCCTTTGTCCAGGTTCACCGTTGAGCTACACTGTCGTTGTTTAAGCGATCACTTCGGCTCGTTCCGGTGCGCTTGCGATACTGTATGTCGATAACGTCCGATCCTATGTGATTCAAATCCACTTTTCGACCGAACCATTTCATTGTCGCTGCAGTCCTCGTTCCCCTATATCTACACGGTAGCGCCTCACGTTGTTCGTCAGGCACGCATACGAAGAAGATCTTCCCATAGCACACGTGTCCCCGAACCAATAGACCGAGAAGCGGACGGAGAGGAAGATCTAGGTAGAGGCGAAACATGAAGTATAAATTGAAGAACACTACAAAGCAATTCAAACAAATACAGGTTACTGTGCAGGCGGGTAAGGACAACAGAGCAACGCGTCGAACATTCGGTGTTCGGTTGATGGCCGATGTCGCTTATAAACAACAGGTGCGTTCATGGGATACTATTTTTTTTGGTTTTCAGCAGTATGTGACGGGATTTGTTGGAGACGATTTCCGGCGGCTGGCAGAGGCGTCGCTTTGCTCCGTTACCGTGCCCCTGCTGGGCCCTTTAAAGGCTACTTTTGTTTTGTCGCGCGTTCCGTTACCGTACCATTACGATAGGGTAACTATAGGAGACAGTGTATATTTATATTGGATCGGGAGCAAGAAGGAACGGAAATTGATAATCGAATTAAGGTTGCTTTGCCTGTTGTTAATGCTCGGACGAACTCCGTATTGTTTGTGTGATTGACATTCTATATTTTTGCCATATTACTCTTTTTGGATCAGCGTATTAGATGTAACAGTTCGCACTTTGAAAAAAAATCAGCTACCGATAAAGGGGTACGCACCGAGTTTACTATGTCGATACAAGACGGCGTTGGTTTGAAATGGGTATTGGCAGCGGAAAAACAAGCTATATGTTAGGACGAACGGCAGGATAATAAAGAAAAATATTCTAGTGTGAGTAGCTTTGAACCAGACTACGAGGGGCGAGCGTAAGGTTTGATTGTAAGACTTCGTAGAAGTTATTCGGGTGGTACAAAATTCTAAGTCATCAAATCATACTTTCGAAAAAACAAAGTACGTTAACAGCTTTCGCTTATCAATTTCTGAGCTTCACATAGAAGCGCTTCATCCCACGTTTCTATCAAGTGCGGAACTATGCAACTATTCAAATTGCGACAGATGAAATCAAGCAGTCACCAAGCAAGTGCAAGATAACTGTTTCTATTAAAAAAAAAAAATAGAATTTTTAATATCGGAACGTACGAGGATGTTATTGTACCCAAATACGTTGGCCAATATATCGTTATATCTTTAATGTTGTCGGATGTTGACATTAATTGACCAGTCTATGTAACATTTGAGAAAGTACTCCTTGGCTGCATTTTTGTCTTGTTATCGCTCGCGGATAATCTACAATTACACAACAAGTGGAGATGCTCCAAGAGTATGCCCCATAGAACGATAACAGGATTATCTGCGATATATAAACTTTGGTAGGCTGAAAGATCAACTGATATCTTTCAACATTAACAGGCACTTAGCTGTCCAGATATGTAGCTGTTTCAGAAAATATTCTTCCGCATAGTTGTTTTATTGATTCGGGTTAGTTGCTTCTCGATTTTCGTACTGTATATGAGGAACGTGGCTTCCTCTTCACTCAAAGCTAAAATGCCGATTATCAGATACTATATGGTTCCTCTCGTGCTTCTAACACAAACAATTCAGGACGCTATCTTTTGCTGTTTCTTAAATCAACTAAACGCCTTGAAATTTATATCAATCCTTTTACGAATTGCTCCTTTCAAATGAGTGGCATTTTACGCCCGATTCCACTGCACTAAGGGGTTAACCTTCAACACGAAACAAATTGTATCTACGCTTAGATTCGAACTCAGACCACCACAAGTCCCACCGGTTTAGGAGGCGAACACGCTACGCACTACGTCATCATCAAGCATGCTTTTTTTTTACAGTCGTACAAATCACTTTTAGCTTAATGTATATACTGCTGCGAATTCAAAATGACGCCAAACTGTTATTTCTGAAAGTTCATGTCGTACGGTAAGAACATGTAGCCACCATAGTCTTAACTCTATTCTCAATCGTTACTAACAATGTAAACAGCCATATATTTACCCGTACCTAAAAGTTCAATCTTGTCTCTAAACATTTTAGTCCGCTTCTATATACACGCAGGAGTGGCTTGACTTGCTGAAATAGCTAAAACCGTAAGAATCAGCGACCGCTGCAGCAGTAATACTCACAGTGGCAACAAGGGCGCCTAGTATAATTCCTTTGTCGCGATACGCTGGCACCACCTTAACCGCCGACCTCAGATTTTCATCAGATATAATATAACAGTACTACTATTGGGTTTCTTTATTATCTCCAGGCTCGTTATTCTCACCCAACCCGAACAGGTATATGTCGGGCTAAGCCAAAATCTAGGGGGCGCCTGTATTCGCATTGAAATCCACGTGAGTTACATGTCCAACCGTGCAGCACTCATACGTTTCTGTGAGACTACCAACCTCCATATGAATGCAGGTTTTATGTAGCATTACTCTGTAGTGCTTATATTCCTATTTAAACGTAGAAGGAAGAGCGTTTAAGTATTGGTTAAGCATGCTCCAAAAGTGACAATCGTGACCGATCAAACAATCGAAGACGCTTGATCGAGCATATGCTGGAGAGAATCGAAACTGATGTATGCCTATCAAATGTATCATATCAAAATGAGAGCTAGGCAGATCTTGTGATGCCCGCCCTCGCCCGGGGCAATACCAATGATACTATTAAACGTCGCATCGTACCGAACGGCACGGACGGCGCAATCGAACATATTTGTAATTGGGTTTTCGGTGTCAGGCGTATAGAGCCGATTTCTCCGAGTTTCGTAATTACCAGTGACATTCTCTAGTATAAAAAGACCATCTCCAAGAGTGCTTTTGAACGACATTTATTACCTCTACGTGTTGAACCCACCGTGCCTATTTTCAGACATCTATAATGCCAGTGTGTTTCCTTCACAGTTGGGAAAGACTGGTATTATAGGATTCTCATACAATACCATCTTTACGAAGCATAATAAGCCGCTCATGCAAACAGTGAGAACGCCTCCGCGATCTCTTCAAATTACAGACGCCAAGAGAACTAAGAGAGATTTACTGATTAGACTTAGTACTATAGAACGGTAATGATTGATCGTCAAACGCAAAGCAATCCAATGGGGTACTTCTTCATATGCGCACTGTTGATTGCACTATATGACTGGTGTATACCCAATTAGAATGGCCAGGCATGTGATATCAAAGCCGGTCGGGACCATTATTACCCCCTTCTGCTGCTATCTACTGCCAATCAGTACAGATTTTTACATAACCGGTATTTATCCTTTTCGGAAGGGTTGGCATCGAAATCTTGTGTTAAACCTGTTATAACGAAGCTTCATCGCATACTTACGGGCGCTTGTTATGAATATTACATAAGGTGACAGGATACTTAGAGTCCTTGTTATATATGAAGCGCCGAACACGTCTAAACGCTAGTAGTAACAATAAGATGTTGTTAATGATACATCTGCGCTGCTTCCTAGCCAATGTATCGCAGTCCCGCATCATTTCGCGCTATTCGAAGCTAATCAATACGGTCAACATTTATTTGGAATACCAGCTCGGCTGCTTAAGGGCCTCCATGTCGTCTGGTTACGTTTCCGCAGCAGTTCAAAGCATTCATGAGTATCGGCCGATTTTATCAGACTTAAAAACTCCCCCTGTGGTGAGGCCATTCCGGCCGGATTTCCACCCAACAGTACGGCGCCCGTCAACGCTGGATCGAAGTATTTCGAACGATTTGTTTGCCTTCGCAATCGGATGCGTCGAGGTGTGAATCGGACAAAACGACCGCGAGATTCTTGTTCGTTC